AAAGCATCTTATTTAGTTCATAAGATATAATGAGATAATTGTTTAATTGGCACCCAATTACAAAAATTACTTATAAGTGTGACACATTTTATAGTTAAATGAGGATTAAAAAATCAGTCACTTTTGAGGCATGACTCAATTTAGTTTTCTAGCTGATTGGCAGATTGAAGTCTGCCTGAGCCTTGGATCTCTCAGAATCCACTCAAACTCCTTTATTTCAGTTGATTTTCCTCTGCACAACTGCGCTGCGTTATTTGATGAAACCTTTTGTGAGGCTTAATTATTACCCCTTCTTTACCTTAACTCTCCCATGTGGCATAGAGACCTCTAAAATTTCTGCACCAGGTTAATTATTTTAATTCTGTGTTTCATAGGAAACTTGCAGAAAGGTAAGAATGTGATAGACTTTTATTCAGCTATTCCAGTTACGGAAGAATAACAGACTTAAAAATGAAATCCTACTGAGAGATTGGGTATTTTCATGTTTACTCAAAGAGAACTTGGCACTGCTGTGATCCACTCATTGGCATATGGGCTTATCTAACACATACACATTTTTGGATAACACACATGGACCTGGGATCTTGTTCTCAGATACAGAACTGTGGGCTCTTCCAAATGTCAAGGCAAAGTGTGAAATTTATCTATGGAGTTACTCCATACAGTGAGGAGGGAAGCCAGAAATAAATTTGATCCCTTTTGATCAAGGTAAGATACAAAAATCCTTAGGTTAGAGCTCTTTAGATCTCTTTAGACTACTGAAGAATTTAGACGATGAAAAGTGAAAGGAAAGCAAGAAATTTCCTGTGCTGGCCGTTTAGACTGTAAAATTTTATATTATCTTCATGCTGAATTGAAAATTTTATGACAAGTACAACATATTTGTGCTGAAATGATTCTCTAAATATCTCCAAAGACAAAATATTGCTTTCTCATATTTTGTGTCAAAAATGTACCTAATCACCTATATTGGAAGTAACTTAAAATTGTGGTTAGAAATTCAAATTTACTCCAAGGACTTAGTTTTTAAATTATTTTAATATCTGTATCTTTGTATAAGGTCTTTCCTTATACAAAATATATGATTGATAGCATTTTTTGGAATGTGGCTGTTTAGAAATCCTTGAAAGTAGTAAAGCTTATGACAGTCCATAATTTTATAGGAGTGTCTCATTCACCTCTCCAAGGGAAAACTGCCAGCCCAGATATGCCAATGTAATTGAAATTTTTTTTCTTTAACACTTCTGTACATTATGGATTCATTTGAAAATGTTTTCCTCTCCCACTGGAAGCAGTTGGTCCTGGAAAGCTCCAAGCAAACTGTGGATGCTTTCATAATCTAAAGAAATAAATCATTAAAATAACAACTATGTGAAATCATCTACCTTGATGAACTCGTACTGAAAATAAAATTCACCGCTCAGTCCTTTGTTTTATTTGTAGGCGATGCTGAGAAATGCCTAATTTTATGAGGGCAACAGCAGATTTGTCAATAGAAGGAACCCAACACATAATCACATCAGCCCTACCTCCTTTCCTCAGCTGCCTCCTCTGCAGTACCCCCCTATCTAGTTCTGCTGCCTTGCAGAAAATAAACCCCAAACATTTGAAAGTGAAAAAACAAAGCTGGTATCCTGAATGTACAGCCTTTCTGTAGTTTCTCTATGTTCATCTATGTTCTCTGTTTCAACAGAAAAATTTATTGCATGTTATTTGATGGTTTGTTGCTGGTTGGGAGATGGATAAATATTCCAGTAGGATCTAAACACTTAAGTTAAATTTAGTCAGATTTTAATGACATGGAAGCGCTAATTGAAGTTAATGTGAGTTAAGTGAAATTCTGCTTTTACCAACAAAAGAACTGTACCTTAATTTCACTATGATTCTTTACATATTAAGAACATGTTAATTAGCAAGTGTAACAGAGTAAGACAAATCTACTGGGATAAGATTCTCCTCCTTGGTATTTACTTGTATGTGGAATAGTATACAACAGACATATGTCTAGGAATCCTAAGTGGTACAATAGTAGGAAGAAGATCATCATTTGATGTACGGTATTTTTAACAATAATGGTAATATTCCAATCTGTGAAAGGGATTATAGGAAAGGAGTTCCTAGTAGAAACATATCACAGATGTTCTGCTCAAACAGCTTCACAGAAAACTGTAAACTTCACAAATAAATGATAGACCTGCAAGAAAAAGTACACCTTAAATCCTCTCCAGTTCTTTTCAGATCAATGAGGTGGAATTACAGTATCTACAAATGTCACAAATTCTGCCATTTCTTAATAACTTTACCTTCTCAATGTAAATTAAGAATTAATTACAATAAATTAATTTTATATGTTAGCACTTGGCAGGAGGATTTTTTCCCTCATGTTTCATTTTAATTATGATGAATACTAAATAGATAGGCAAGATTATGCATGTAAATAAATAGAGCACAGTAAATTAGGCTTATGTATCTAATTATTATTCCATTATTTATTGGAAGAAGAAGGAAACATAGTGACAATTGATGAGGTAAAGGCTGAGGTAATTAATGCCTTCTTTGCCTAAATTTTTAACAGCAATATTAACTATTGTGTGTGTATCCAGCCCCCTGAGGTGGAAGACAAAGATTGGGAGCAGTCTGAAGTCCCCCCGATCCTGAAAAACTGGTCAGTGACCTGCTACACCACTTAGACCTGCACAGGTCTTCGGGAGTGTATGGGATACACCCAAGGGTAGCAAGGGAATTGACTAAAATACTCACTGAGCCTCCTTCCCTCATGCAGTCCTGCCTAACTGGGGATGTTCTAGTTGACTGGAGGTTTCCAAATAGGAACTCTATCAACAAGAAGGGCAGGAAGGAGGATCCAGGGAACTACAGGCCTCTCACTCTGGCCTTGATGCTGGGGAAGGTGATTGAGCAGATCACCCTGAAATCCTGGCTTTTATCAGCAACTGCGAGGCCAGCAGGAGCAGGGCAGGGACTGTCTCCCTGTACTTGGCACTGGAGAGGCCACAACTCAAATCCTGTGTCCAGTTCTGGACCCCTCACTCCAAAAAGGACACTGAGATGCCAGAGAAGGGCAGTGGAGCTAGGAAAGAGTCTGGACCATAAGTTCTATAAGGAGCAGCTGAGGGAGCTGGGGGTGTTTAGCCTGGAGAAGAGGAGGCTGAGAGGAGACCCTAGTGCTCTCCACAACTGCTTGAAAGAAGCCAGGTGGGGGCAGTCTCTTTTCCCAAGGTAACAAGTGATACAGAAAGAGGAAATGGCCTCAAGGTGAGCTGGGGAGGTTCAGGTTAGATATTAGGAAAAAAGTTCTGCATGATGGGAGGGTCATCAGGCTGCTTAGGAAATTTGTGGAATCACTGGCCCTGGAGTGCTAAGAAAACGTGTGTGTTGCACTTCAGGACATAGTTTATTGTCAAAAATAAGGTGCTTGGTAAATGTCTGGAGTTAATTCTTTTAGATATCTTTTCCAGACAAAACAATTCTGTGATTCTAGTAAGCCATTTAGTCTACTCATTATATAACTGTATATGAACATTACTTGGTTTTTAAGCTAGACTTTCAGAACAATATTTTTTCTTCTCATGTTTCAAAGATTTGTATGTATATTTCTTCCACTGTAAAATCCTTTTAAACTTTTACGGAAGTGCTGAGAAACAGATGAAAACTTCATCCAGAAACAATGAGCCTACACTAAAATTGTAGCCTCAGAAGGACATTGAATAAAAAATTTCAACTATTTAAGTTCCTAGGGTAGACAGGTCTCAGAGAATGTCAATAAGATTCCTACACTAAGATGAAATTAAATTATAAGATGTGCTTTTAAAAAACAACTGATTTGTCCCAGCTGCTTGGAACAGTGTACTGGAACAGACTGAAAAAGCAAGGCTGGGGCAAAACTCAAGCCTTCAAACTCTTCCCTTTCCACTTCTGCCATGTGCATGAAGTGTGGGTCTTTAGTCACATTCATTATTCTGTGTATACATCTTTCTGGAGCAACGTCTTCTCAACACAGTCACTGTTTAGAAGATCAGGAATGACATTTGCATGTTCACTTAACCATTTAATAGCATTTATCATGTCAACATCAGCAGCTAATCCTCAGCATCTCAAGCACTTTCCTGCTTTTATGAACTTGCATTCACTATCTTTTTCACTTAATGTAGTAAGTTTGACAAAAACATGAGGCTCATGAAGATTTAGCACCTAATTAGCATCAGACTCCATGCAAATATGTTGTAGTAGAAAGCAAGTCCACTGGGACATAACTTAATCATAACAAAGCAAATTTAAGTAAAAGTTGACTCCTGCAAAGGTGGTAAAAATACTATTTTAAGTATATCTCTCTTGTTGCTTCTTGACTATCAGATTAAACAGTTTTAAGAAAAAAACGAATAATGAAAAAATAATTTAATAAAGTGTTTGAGAGTGTGTTGCTTCTGACCTCAAAACTACTGACATATTAATATCCTCCATGACCATAATATACAGCCTTATCTTCAACAATAAGACCATGTATCTAGCTATGTATTTCTTGTCCATACTGTATATTTGCAGACCAGTGGAACTCACAATGATGTTAATATATTACCTGATAATGCAGTAGATAAAAGGGAAGCTTATTTACAAAGAAGTGTCCATAAAAATATAATTAATAAACAGAGGGATGTACATTTCCCAGTAATATTTTATAGCATTGTTAGGTTTAAGTTGGAATTTTTAGCACATAAAACACACCCATGCAACATATGCGATATGTGTCTTTGGGTTGTTTTTTAAAATTTTTTTTCAAGCAGGCTTTTTTTTTAATAAAGAAATTACACAATTATTTCCAAAGCTAACAAAGAAATATATTTTGCAGCAAAACCCCCAAAAACACTCCCCCAATCCCTTGATCAAAATAAGTATTTTCAAACAATCACCCTTTCATTTCTGAACTAGCATCAGCAATCAGGTTGTGATCACACAGGTCTCAGTGCGTTATTATTGTCTCTTACCCGGAGTTTGAAAGTTAAGGCGTCGCAGCTCCACTGGATCCGTGGGATGGTGAGAGGGCACCTCCTTGCTGTTGGGTATGCTGCTCTTTCTAGAATCAGATTCAGCCCTCTTCCTGCATGGGAAGATAGACATGTTAGCTTCGCAAAGGTGCCTGAATGTTTAGCGTTATACCACAAAGGCAAGATGTTTATTTCTGAAAAAAGTATTTGATCCAATGCAAAGGTAATGTAATTATGCATGGCGGGTAAGGTACCTACAATCTGCAGTGGTAAAATGGTCAGAGAGAAAATAGTTGCATTTTGCCCTAAATTGATCTTCCAGAACACCCTTCTGGTCATCTTAATACTTTACTCTTATAACATTAAATGTATAAAAATTCACACAATTCTATTTTAAATGCTATCTAGCTATACCTTTACAAAAAAGCTGCAAATAATATAGCAAATCTTGCAGTTAGCCTCATATTGATAAATTACTGCCTACATTCACTTAAGACTGACAGATGCTTTGTCTTAGATGATTATCATGATGATTTTTTTTCTCCTTTTTTTTCTCCTTCTCTGTTTTAAATAAAGAGTGATTGTTTTTCACTTCTCACCTGTCAGGTTTACTGCTCCATTTTAATGCAGCAAGGAGGGAAGAAAAGGTGAAATGTTAGTTGACCAGCAGCACAGAGAATAAGCATGAAAATAGAAGATACAAGAAATTTTGATTTGCAGTAAAGATATGTAACTAAACCAAATTAAGAAATGACAGCTCATCAAAATATCCAATGCTTGGAAATCATAGAATTAATAGAGGACAAAAGGTCATGTCAAAAGTGAATCTTCTGTTGAAAAATACACCTCTTCTAAATACTATCTACCAAGAAATGAGACTTCAAATTTTAGCCGCTGAGATAATGGAGAATGGGTGTTTAATTTGAGCCATGGAAGTAATGTTAACATTACATTGAAAAATTACATCTCACTGAGATCCCTCTTACATTCTAGAGAGAAGAGAAATGAGAGGAGGGAAGAGAGGAAAAATTAAAATGGAGGGCAATCTAGAATGGGAAGGAGAGAAAGGGAGCAGAGGAAGAGAAAAGGAAGCGATGAACAAGGTTAAATATATGAGACACGTATGGCTTGCACTAAATTTTAAAAAAAAAATAAAAAGAAATTAAAATTTCTAAAACTATTTCACAACACCAGATAAACAGTAACAAGAAATTTTTAACAGTACCCTGGAAAGCAAGGTAACCATAAACCTTTTCCAGTGAAGTATTACACACTTTTTCAGATTTAGAATGAATGTAATGTACTAGAGGTCTACAGTGACCTGTATAGATCTGTAGTGATCTGCGATCTATAAAGTTGAGGTAAACAGGAAAAATAATTTATTTTCTCTCACCTATGTGTTCTATTATACACACACACACTATAACTACTGTGTTTATCTTTCTGTGTGTTGATTATAATAAACAAGGGTTCTACCAACATTTTAGTAACTTTTATTGTGCAATGACCAAATTACACACATTATGAGAAAGTCCTTAAAATTCATCACCATCACTTAAGATTTCCCATTTTTCTGTTTTGCATTTCTGTGCTTTTATTTTTGTTTATTGTTGTTTTTTTTTTTTAACATCTGTTTGGTTTTTTTTTCTCTTAGAAGCCTATTTCTCCTTACAGCTCAAGATTCAGCATGGGACCAGCAGCTCAAAGGAGGTGACTCTGCACCTCCACTCCATATTGGTGAGACCCCACCTGGAGTGCTGCATCAATTATTGGCGGTACAAAAAGGACCTGGATCTGTTGGAGTAAATCCAGAAAAGGGTCACAAAAATGATGAGGGGCATGGAGCAGAAAAGGCTGCGGGAGCTGGGACTGTTCAGCCTGGACAAGAGAAGGCTTTGGGAGACTTCATTGCAACCTTCTTATAAGGACTTCTAAGAAAGATGGGGACAGGCTTTTACTGTAGAGCTCATGATGACAGGACAAGGGGTAATGGTTTTAAAGTGAAAGAGGGTAGATTCCAACTATCCAGAAGGAAGAATTTTTTTATGATGAAGGCTATGAATTAATTAGATGCCCCAGAGACATGGTGGATGCCCTGTCCCTGGATACTTTCAAGGCCTGTGGATGGGGCTCTGAGAAGTCTGACTTAGCTGAAAATGTTCCTGCTTATTGCTGGGGGTTGGACTTATAAAGGTCCCTTCCAACCCCAACTAATCTATGATGCTATGACTCAGAGTGCTGGAGTTACTATGTTCAAAAGATTTAAGTTCAGGCTACAGACTCCTGAGTCAAATCAAAAAGCATTTATAAAAGCAAACACAAAGTCTGCCAAGATGGCTTTAACTTCTCTTCCTTAGAAATGGAAAGATCTAGAATGAGGAACTTTTGCTCTTTATCAGTGGAAAATGGAAATTAGGGAATTTGTAATTTCTCAGAAACTACAAGGAATAGCCACATAAATTAATTTGTAAAAAAAAAATAAAAAAAATAAACTCCAAAACCAAGAATGAGATAACAGGATGCTTCATGGGGACATTCACTCTTCTTTCTAGTTTGTCTGTTTCTAAGAAACACCACACAATTTCCAGAGCTCTTTAACATTCACTAAGTAAGTTCCTAATCAACCAGTCCTATGTAATTGAACATATATCAAACATATAAAATTTATGTAAACTGTGACTCAAGCAGACCTCCTAATGGCTAGGCATTTCCTCTAGGGCATACATCACCTATAAATCTAGGTTTGCTTTTGTTTGTGATTTTCGATACAAATCTTACTTTGCTGAATAAGATACCCTATCTTTGAACAAAGAAAATATTTATTTGCTTGTCAACAAGAAAATGGCCAAAAATCAAGTGAGATTTATCTAATTTACTTAGCTCTCTTGATCTGATTGTTTATGAAGTTTAATAGATGGAATGATCTGTCGTGAAATAGGTGTCCCCCTTTACTATGACTGCATGGTGGTTTTACTGCTGCAAGGACAGACAGCACTGAACTGGTTAATGGCCAAGTCAGTTCCATTTGCCAAGACACAGTCAACTGAATACGGGAACAAGTTGCCCAGAAAGGTCATTGAGTTTCCGTTCTTATCTGTACAGAGCCTGCCTGGATATCCCTCTGAGCAAACTGATGCAGGTGGCCATGCTCTGAACAGGGGTAGGATGAGGCACACTCCAGAGGTGTGGCCCTTTCATTCTGTGAACCCGTGACCTCTTCTGCCCACAATATATTAGGTGGCCTCATCGATGTTTGGTATTATATCAATAGCATGTCCGATGACAAGAAAAGGTACTCTTCAGTATTATTCTCATCTATTACTATTACTTAAGCTGCAATGACCTTTTGGCTATATTCTAATGTATGATCCAAAAACCTGTCATGAAATATCTTTGCTTTCAGATTTTAAGAAAAGTAAATGCAGAGGCAATAACCTTTATACAACTTAACTTAAATAAAAAAGAGTTCAAACATGCATTCCTTGTCTTTGGCATGTTAAATATAGTTCAAACCAACCCAGACAAATTATCCATGCTATGTAATAATGTGTTTTAAAGAAGGGCAGGACTTCTCCCCATAAAATTTTTCTTTTGGAAACTGCAGTCATAATTCCTCTGTGATTGTAGTTAAAATGTATAAGTAGTATTGTAAATCATGAGCTTAGTGGTCCACATCTGTTCACAAAGGTTTCTATGGACAAAGGGAATTAAGCATAGTTGACCTTTACTTGAGTTAGTACTCTTTGCACTTCAGAAGACACAGTCATTTCTTGATTGTCCTCTTTGCACTGCACATCCTTTAATAAAATCCTCTTTCATTTTTTGCATGTATGTTCATAACTACACTGATGCCCTATACCTTAATTTTCTTTTCTCACTATCATACTTGTTGCACTTATACCCCAATATATCCTAGAAATATATTTGTAACATTTTCTGTATCCACAAAAATTACTTGACTGTTTTTTTAACATACTTCTCCCATCTAATTCCTGTAGCCACATTAAATCCTTTTAACTCAGAATTAAACTTCACTGTTTTCTCGAAGCAATATGTTAAATATCCCAACCATCTTGTCATTGCTCTTCTACAGTCAGCAAATCTATCAAAATTTAGCAATAAGCTTGCATTCAGGTTACATACTCTTGGAAAAAATATCCAATTATATACTATATTTTTACAGAAATAAAAGCTCACGGAGGACCACAGACTGCTAAAACTGCAGTCATAATTTCTCAGAGGTAATTTGCCAAATCAGTGCAGTTTAACAAATTAGAGTCAATAGCTGATTTTTTTTTTTTGGAAATATATTAGAAGATTGTTACTTTGATTCAATAAATGTAATCAATAACTCCAGAAGCAGTTAACATCTACTTAATATAATATTGTTTGGATTTATTTTTTAGTATGGGAGATTTACTTTTAATACTTCAAAATAAACAGAAGAAAGGAGTATTTCACTTTTAGCACATCTCCAACGACCAGTTTTTGAAGTGATGGACAGAAAGGGAGATGCTAACTAACTTGATTTGTGGAAAGACTGTGCACGACAGAAAACGTTGAGCAGACATAGTTCAAAAGAGACAAATTTCTGCAGCGGTCTGCAAGCAGCAGACTGTGCGTTATGCTGCTATACGATTATCACTCTAAAACCATTCTATAAATATATATCTATTTGGGATCCAAAGGGGAAGTTAACTCTGGAATGGTTATTTACTGCTGAAGAGGGAATTCTTTCCAAAACCTGAAGAGAGTTCTCTTTATGAAAGTCAGAGGTATTTGACTGGAGATACTAATGGTGGCAAGAGCATACAGGCTCAGATTTAAATATTTAGATGCAGGTAATATCATTGTAGCCATTAGTTTTAGAAGACATACTTCATTTAATAAAATTATTTCAAGTATGCCCCCTCCCCAGAAATTGACAGCATCTCTGTAATGTAATATTCCTCAAATGCACTTAATCAACATATTTTAAAAAAATATTTCTTATTAAATTTAAATTTAAGACAATTTAATAAATTTATTATACTTAAATTTACTAGTAATGAAACATAAACATTAAAAAAAACTTCTTGAGTTTCATTCTTTGGTTTTGATTTAGTATCTTGACCTGTGTCAACTCATTTACACCTACGGCTACTATGTATAAAGTACAGCATCACACACAGTTTTCACTGAGTAACTTCTTTGTGTAATAGCAAAACTAAATCTGTGTCATAGACAGTGAAAGAAGAATGAGTAAAATTTGATCTCATTGAAAGATTAGTAGAAAACAGCTATTTGATGTCTCTTTAATCTCTCAGATCAGAGCTTCAAATTCATATAGAAACATTGCCAAATTGAGGCCAACTGTCAAAAGTTAAAATTCAAATTACTTGAGTGAAGATGAAAATCACATTTAACAACAAGCTGAATGTAACCCCTAATGTATTACTATTATACATCTATAAACAAGTTTTAAAAAGTCAAATGTGCAGATTCCATACATATTTATGTGCAAGCACATATTCGCTTTCTTCGCATACAAATGTATCTTTGCATACAAATGTATGCAAAGTGGAAAAAACATTTAAATGCAGTAGTGTTAATACAGCAGTCATCAGCAGAAAAATGTACTCACATACCTGTAATTACTGAAAATTTCAGTCAAAAATTTCTGCAGCATTCTGGAAGCCATTAATAAATTTCAAAATATCCCAAAGCAATGACAGTTAGTATTTTAGCACAAAAATACAGTGTGTACCTGTGTTATGTAAGTGACCAATATAGAGGGGAAATGATAAATGAAAAGGTAAACCTACCTTTTATAAAGAAGTATAGCAATAACAATGCAGATGATAAAGACCACTGCAAGAACTGGTCCAACAACCCAAATCAAACCTTCTTCCTCATCTGTAATTGGCTGGGGATCAAGATCCATTGACACAACAGGATCTGAATATGGGCTTGTTGCATACATGGTCTGTTGAAATAAAAATAATTCTTATTTAATCACGAAGCAATGCATTAAAATGTTAACTACACCACATCTAAAATAAATGTATAGAAGGGTATGATGCAAAGAATGCAGCAAACTGCAAATGCTATTCTTCTTGAAGACAATATATAAACTTGCAAATTGAAGAGCGTTTATCATCATCATTATTTTGTGTTCCACATATTAGCAATGGCCTGCAGACAAATCATGTACCCAAGTCCTTACAGAACACTTTACAACTTAAGCAGAGAATGAGAAATTTAATAGAACATTGAGAATTATAGCCCACCGGTTACCAATTTTTAGGTTTTATTTTAGTTTCATACCAGCTTAACACTTTCTGCCTGCACAATATGAAAGGGCACTTTTGACAAAACAAGACTGCTGTAGATAAAAATAAAGGGGACAAAATGTAGGAATTTCCTTGCAAAGGGTCTTACAACAATAGTACTGTGCATTTTGCTCAGTCAAAAACTGTCAGACAGAATATACCTACACAAGGTGGAGACAACTCAAATTTAACACTGAAAAATGGGAGAATTCATTGTGGAATATGAAAAGAAGCTAAACATTCAGCCTTTCATAAGGGTGAAACTAGAATAATGAATCAACTGAGGTTATTGAAAATCTTCGCTTTACTAGATGGTGTAAAGCCAGCTGGCCTAGGATGAAACCCATGATAAGAGAACTTTTTTTTTTATTCTTGTCTGACCTGTGATTTTTGATCTCTGTCTGAATTAAAACTACAGACTGAGGCTAGCCTCAGTAGAGGCTGAAGAGCCAGCCTTTTAAAACTGTATCATTTTAAGAATTCTGTGTTATAGTAAAGTCAAGTGGAAAGTTGTTTGTACATATTTCTTGCCTGCGCTAGTGTGTCTTCATCAGTGCTAAACCAAGATTTAATTAATTAATTAAATTAATTAATTTTAATTTTAATTAAAATTTTAATATATTTTTTAAATTTAATCAATTAAAAATTGATTAAAAACTTGAGTATTGGACCAGAAATGTCAGCTAAAACAGAATAAGACAACCAGGAGATTAACTTCCATTTATGTTTGCACTGTATTCTGAAAGATGCCCTAAACAGGGACAAGTCTTATCAAAAGAGACATGTCTTTTTACACTTAATTTTGTCTTGTTTTGGGCTCTGGGCTACAACAATCTACTACTACTGTCTGGGTTTGGGACAGGATTGGCATTGGCAAAGCTGAGGCACTTCCTGAGTGTTACTGACCTAGCAGCTATGCCAACAATCTCCAGTTATATTATGGCATTTTACTACACCTGGCACCTGGTACCAAAACCTCCCTATGTTTTAAGTCTATGATCACTGTCTAGAAGCTGGGGAGTCTTTGTCTTCCATTCCTGAACAACCCTAATAGACTAAATTTTTTTTTTTCCCCCTCAGGTTTAGTAGTCTCAAGATATAAAAAAAAAGGTTCATTGCTACATGAAGAAACTTTTTGTATTTCACCTCTTGCTTTGGAGTGAGCAGCAAAACTGCCTGGGAAAAGATACACAGGGATATTGAAGTCAACAGTATAAACACTTTCTACCTTTTCTTCAATAAATAGGATTTCACTTTTAATTTTAAACCATCCTGTATTAATGACTAATTTAAACTCATTTATTATTTTACAAATTTATCTTATTTTTTCCTTCCTCTTGCTGACATCCTTAACATATTTATAGATTTTAATCATAGCTCTCCAGCTCCCATTTTACTAAGTTAAACAAATTCAGACCTTCCCATGACCTCTTTTAATTCAAGTTCTCTATTCTACCAATCAAGAGAGAAATTTTGTACTCTCTGAACAAGAAGCCTTATGTAAAATGTAACATCTGAATATCAAGAAAAAACATCACTTGCAAGTTATAGCTCATACATCAGTAGAATCTGTAGTCCTAGAAGAAAATCAGCTGGAGAGCTGATACACTGGAGCACTGAAAGTCACTGAAAGCTGAATCTCAACCACCCTTAAAAAATTCTTCACAGTTTGTGACAACCTCATGCTACTCAATCACATAAATGTTTCAGATGGCATGCTGAACCACGTCTTATCCACAGCCTAAGTTCAGTAATGTCTTTTGAAGTCTTTCAAGAGTAGAACTCTATACACATTTTGCCATATGTGTCAGTTTACCAACCTATTTCTTCCTGCTTTTTCATACTGAATTCTAACAGAGCAATAAATTTAGGTCATTTCTACCTTAATTAATATAAAAAACACAAGAAACTGCACTTCATATTGAGAAGATCCATTTTAGTACAGGTAATTTATGACATAAAGATTTATGGCAACATAACTTTGTAGTTAAAAGCTGTCTGCCTTGTCCAATCTGAATCTTTCTGATGCAACACCTTCAGAATTATCTGTCTATGAAGCCCACATCAAAAAGTGAAAAGAGAACTTTTGATTTATGTTAGAGCTTCCAGGAGGCAGTTACTTTATTTTCAAATGAAGCTATGTATCAAAAAGTATTCAAAGTGGAACTACATCCTCATTGCAGGCACATTCATTGACACCAAGAAAGCAATTGCAGTGTCATACACTGCAAGCATTTGACTAGAATTCAGAACATTGGTGTTGGAGTTTCAAGTGATTGAACCTGCAAATGTATCTGTCACGTTTAGTTACCAATTAGAAATGTACTGTATTACACATTGTATGTTAAAATGCAAATGTGTATTCAACCTTTCAAGAGTTATATATCTGTCTTTTGTTTTTTTCTTTTTTTAATACATTACTTGCATTAGGTTAATTCACGCATAAAGGGATGTAACTACAAAATGAATTATGTACAGAGAAATGAGAGCTCATTATTTAGTTCACCTCAGGAATTTTCCCTGTTACTGAATTATTTTCTAACTTTCTAAAAATTTACTGATGAAGTTGTTATGGAATGATTGTAACTAAAGAGGGTAGCTGTACATGTCTCTAGTTCAATGGATCTTTCCAAGGACCCTGTATATCCCATACCATTATTCATTGGTAGCATCAAAAGACAGCAATTACACATAGAGAAAGATGCTGCTGTAAAGTTCATGTCTCAGAAGCTGTGTCCATGGTCAAAAATAATACAAATGTAATTTTCAAAGGTTCACAACACAGCTAATAAAAGGTGACTCTTAGGTATCAGTTATACACTGAAGTAACACACAAAGATGCAAAAGAACAGAACAGTTCAAGGAATTAGTGGGCACTGAGTTGAATTAAAAACTCACTTTAAAGATGCTCTGACATAAAACATTAAAAAAAACAGCTTTAGAGATTGAAAAACATTAACTAACTTACAGATTCTGAGTGCTCCATTACAGCCAACACAAAGAAGACGTATTCTTGACCACTCTGCAGTTGCTTATTCTCAAATCCACCATAATGCTTCTTATCCCCCAATGTGAATTCCGTAGGAAGAACTTCAAAGTGAGCTGCAATATATGGCTTTAATTCAACTTCCCTCCCAAGGCGAATGCTTCTGCGTTTCCTAGCTATCTCCTTAAGCAGCTTTAGAATGAAGGGAGGGAAAAGAAAGGGGGAGAGAGAGAGAGAAAGAGAGAGCAAGCATGAACAGAAAGATAACTGTAAACAATTTTAATGTAACTTATTGACAATGTAATGAGAAAATTTAATGCATGACCAGGAACTACAATAAACAATTTATCCACATTTCGTGGGACATTTCAGTATCACTAAAACAATTCTTGCATAATCTTCCAATTTCTTGTCGTTCTTGTTAGGATACAAAAAGACAATTGCAGTACCCAGACTACAAACACAAAACAATTTTTAGATACTGTTGTGTCTAGGAAGAGGTGGGGAAAGGATAAGAAAACAATATACTTTCTCTGAGGACATATACACATAACACATTCCATATTGTCTATTTATTTATCTGATTATCTGATTATCTATCTGATTATCTATCTGATTATCTATCTGATTATCTATCTATCTATCTATCTATCTATCTATCTATCTATCTATCTATCTATCTATCTATCTATCTCAGTCATAGAACAGAATCATAAAACCACTTATGTTGGAAAGGACCCTTAAGACTGATTCCAGCCATTAATCTAACATTGCCATGTTCACCACTAAACCATGCCCCTAATTGCCAAAACTACACATCTTTTTAAATACCTCCAGGAGTGGTATTCTTCTGACAAACAGGCCTAAATTTACATCACTACATTTGTGACAAGATTAGATGCTAGGCTCAAACTTGGAAAACATATACTAACTAGTAAAGGAACTTAAGCTCAGCTAGTATAATCTATTGATGAATTACTTACTTAATCAGAAAAATGCTTCTTCAATACCTTTTTTTTTTTTTTGCTTTAGATATACTAGCATTTCACAAAAATTAGTCTAATTTGATTACAAGGAATCAAAACTTTTCCTGTGTGATAAATGATGACTTCTAAGACCTCTTCATGGTTCCCCTTGTCTTTTGCTTATGAAACTTCTATAGTTTCCTGTAGTCTTATAGTTAAATCACGTTTTTTTCTATAGTTATTCAGTCTTTTTAGTACAGTAACAGTTCCAATACAGTAGATTAGCACAGAAGTCATTGCTGGGAGGGAGAGATAAATCACTGGAGTGAGAAAGAGATTAAAAAAACCCCAAATGAACAACTAAAATCTGATCTTAACTATATATATTAATTTCAAAGTACATGTTTAGTCAGGGAAGTTCTCCACAGAATCACAGGATATGCTGAGCTGGAAGAGATCCTCAAGAATCATTGAGTCTAAGTCCTGGCTCTGCACAGGACAGTCCCAATAGCCACATCATGTGCCAGAGAGCACTGAACTCTGTCAGGCTGGTGCTGTGACCACTTCCCTGGGCAGCCTGTTCCAGTGCCCAAGCACCTCTGGGCGAAGAACCTTTTCCTAATATCCAACCTAAACCTCCCCTGACACAGCTTCAGGTCATTCCCTTGGGTCCTGTCACTGTCACCATAGAGAAGAGATCAGTGCCTGCCCCTCCCTGTTCCCCTCATCATGAAATTGTAACTGCAGTGAGGTCTGTCCTCAGTCCTCTCCAGGCTGAATAGAGCAAGTGACCTCAGCCATTCCACATATGTCTTCCCTTCAAGACCCTTCACCATCTTCAATATCCTCTTCTTTTAGGCATTAACGAACACATCTTTTTGCCTTCCCTCATGGGATCTTGTATTTTTCATTTACACAATTAATAACTGCAATGCATGTAAAGCAATCTAATATTCTCTCTTCTACTCACAAAGAAACTTTTAATACTGAATGCTTTGATATTCACTACTCACTGACTAAATTTAAGGTTACAGCTACATATGAAAGCAAGCTGTGCCACTTGAATTCAGGCTTCCTTAACATTGAGAGCATTTGGATGTTACACTTTCCAAGATCTATGAAGTCAACTGCTTTCCAGCTCCAATGCTGAGTCGGTGCCCTGTTGCAGAGATTTTACATCCAATTTACCTCTATCAGTTTCAATGCCATGACACAAAAGCTGGTACAGTGCAATGGATCCCCTGAGCAAAAAAAGAATTGGCCATAATTTGAGACTAGAAATCATTATTCATTACTCAAGGACACTATTCCAATCAGCAGTCCATATTTCTCTTTCATTCTTCCTAAACAGTTTAATGAGCAGCTAGAGTCAATTTGCGTCGTATAAAAATGAGGGCAGCAAAAAAATGTAATATTGAAGAGATTTCTATTTAGTTACTTCACTGAAGGTGACTCTCACATCTGCCAGTAGCTTCCTATGCCCCAGGTAGAGTCACTAAATGCAGAACATGAAGCAGAGAATAATCAAAGTTTGTTCCAGATTAGATCAGCCCTTGTAGGAACTGCTGAGGGAAGCACTCTGAAAAGTTTGTCTTAGTATGATGCCACAGTTTATAATAATAGCTGTGCAGAGGGCTGAGCACTGGCTATCTGGAAGTCTGCCAAAACATGAAGCTAAGTATTGAAGCAGTAACAGTGCACACTGGCTTAAAGTCAGGAGCCACAAACAGGACAGCACGAGTAGAGGCATACAGCTTGTGCCATCGCTGAAGGTAACTGGCACTTTGATGTACCATTTCCACTGGAATTAAAGTTGTGTGTCTGCCTCAACTAAATTATTTGTCATATGTTTCCGAACTGCAGTGTATTTACAATTTAGATTGTAAATAACGCATAATAAAGTGCCAAAGTGCTGTAGGACTACTGCAATCAAAATTAGATTAATATTGAGATGCAAAGAAAAATGTTTGATTTTGATTATTTCTCACATTTGAAATAGTAACAGAAAGTGCATATATTGAAAGAAAATGCAATGCTGAAGTACAGAATTAGAGTGATCAGAAATTCAGTTTTGGCTATGAATGCTAAAAGCTAGCCTGAGTCAAATAAAATTAGTTCAGCTTTCCAAAGGTTGTTGATCACTTATGGCCAGCTAACTTAGGTGTATTTGGGTGTAGATAAAAACTTTGTCTGTAACATTAATTACATATGGCTGAGTAGACCTCAGGTGAGCCTCCAGGTGAACCTCCAGCCTCATTCATGCTTCATATGTAAATGGGGTTGTTGCCAAATATCATTACTTGCTCATTTATTTCCTATTGTACTCCCTATACACAGATTTCAATAAAATTACTGAATTCATTTAAGGCTTAACTTGGCAACCTTTATTTTGGTTTTACTGCATAGATCTAAAGTTATCCTACCACGTAATACTGCAAATCATAGCATCTTTTTCTATTTCATTTACTTGCATGATGTCTATTTAAAGTCACTAGACCTCATGATATTAAAATAAAAAATGAAGTTTTGAGTTGGTAAAAAAGCACTGTATCTCTAATTTATTTTTATTTTTCAGATGTCAAACATCTAGTCCATTATCTGCTTCTTTTAAAACTAGGCATCCATCTTAGTTTCTTTCAGCGCTGAGGTTCAAGGAACAGGAAGATTAGGTGACTACAATAAGTCTTTTTGGACTGCTCAGTTATGTAATGGAGTTATACTCCAGAGATGTGTCATTAGCAAATACTTTCCTTCTGCTTACAATCTAAGCAAAGCATTTGGAACAAAGTTCTTTGAAATATCTCTTGCCCAACCATTTCTGATACCAGACGCATATCTGAGATCATACTAAAAATATAAATATGCATAAGTATCCTCACTTGACCATCAGGCGCTATTTGCTCAGAGAGTAGTGCTTTTTTTGGGGGGTGGTGGTGATTTTTTTTTTTTTGCTTTTTTTGGGGGGGGGGGGTGTTGTTGTTGTTGCTATTTTTTCACAAATGTATTTATTGCAGCACTGTTCACAAGCTTGTCAGGAAAAGCACACTTAATAAAATGCATACTTTCCAAAGCTGGAAAGCAAACCAGTCTTTTAAGTAATAGAAAGTGAATGAGTTTGCATGATATGCAATTGCTGCCTGACTTTAATGTTTTTCCCCTACTCAGTTCTTGCTATATGTATTGGTGGTAATTGTAAAAGATATATCAAAGGGTTTAGTTCTTTATCAGAAATAATTTTAATTTTCCAGTCAATGCATATCTTATTTCTTCCGTCATTAATTCTACAATGTGGTCTCAATTATATCAACAGAAGTGGGAAACAACCCATCCTGACACAAATATTTCTGAATTAATAAATGCTCTTTATCAATCTGTTATACAGACTAAGGCAACACAACTTGAAGGATGATTAAAATGACCCTTTTTTATGAGAATCAGCAGGAACCATAGAATTTAATTGCCACAAAGTTCAATGTCATCTGGCACCTATCCTTTAATCTATTTAATGCTGCTGAATGTGACTCCACTCTTTGGATGTTAAACGTAGGTGGTAATACTCAATCAGTTTCCATTACTGAATGGATGTGGCTGTCAGGGATTTACTGTTTAACTGTATTTGATGGCTCCTACGACTAGGATCATGAGCTGGTGGCATTTACAATCCAAGTTCTTTTAAAGGGAAGAAGTTAATAGATCAAAGCAAGCCATTGCTGCAATGGAATGAAGTGGAGATGATCAAATGAAACTGGTCAAGAAGAAACACAGGGTTGAATCTGTTAGTCATATTGCCTTCCTCTGAACAGTTGTTCCTAATATTCTGATTAAGGATTTTCCCATTGTTGTAACAAGGACTGAAAGAATTACATTTGTATTTTGAACGATTTCTAAAACACTGTTAATTTTGTGAAGATCTTTATTTTCCCTATATTTTGGTGCAAAATTTGAAATTTATATCCATTTTGTAAATGGCAGGAGAGAATTTATGCTTGCTCACAGCTGATCAATACTTCCCAGTAATTGTGTTATAGGGAAGCATATAGTGAGGTTATCTCTGTAACATAAAACTCTTGAATCCACCAAAAGAAAATAGAAAAATAAATGGGATACAGTCAAAAGAACACTTTATCAGTAGTAAAAAAACCCCAACTGATTCTGGTCTTTGAATTGCAGAGATATTACACGTACAAAGCACCACAGCATCTGAACGTCATCTAAAATCTTGGCCAGAAACAACAAGAACAATAACACCACTACTTGTCTTTTACAAAAGTCTCTCATATGGGCCTCTTGAAAGAGCCTTAAAATCATAAAAGTTAGCATTACTACAAATTTACAAACTGAAAGAAGAAAGACAAGTGTGCATTAGCTATACTGTCCTTTGGTAAAACAGAAAATGGGGGTGAATATTATACTTCCTGGAATTATTACTGTATCAATAACATACCAAATTGATTTCTAGCATTGCTGGGCTTATTTCTTAAATGAAAGCCATTCCCCACCTTGGATGAATGTAATTTATAGTTTCAAATGATGACATAATGTTGCTCTTTCTCTCCTTGTTCATGCATTTATTTCTGATCACAAACTGTTGGTTAAATGGAGGCTATGTCTCACCAGAAGTATTACAGTATATGACAATCAGGTAAAACCACCACCAGAAGGTCAAATGTTAAACTGAGGTGCAAATTGCAATTTAGCATTTGTTACAGACTTAGTAAACACCCCTCTAATGAACCAGACCTTTATTACAGTTCATATTGTTGGTGATTAAGCTTTTGCTGACAACTCATTTCACCTCCTGCACTTTTGCATCACTCATTACAATAGTAAAAGAATACAGTATTAGTGTCAACAAATATCAGATACTTTATGTTCTTTATTTCAATTTAATATCTTTCCTGTCTTCTCATTTAAGTAATTTGAATTTTTGTTTTAGTTTCCACAAGCTAATATCAATATAAATACAAAGTAACCTGACAACCAAAACTTTTAAAACTGGTGATTAATTACCTAAAACTAGCAAGACTGCTTCTTTAGTAAAGGAGAAGAAAAAAGCACCAAATCATATACAGTACCTCATCTAGTTCCATTTCATCTGGACTCTCCCACGGTTTGATAAACTTTCCACGAGACCTCTTCAAAGGCACAATAACTATGTAATAGCCTCTGTAAATGAAAAAGTTGGACAAAAGTGAAGTTAAATGAAAAGGAATAGATAAATTGATGGAGTGGGTCTGTTTATAGGAACTTAAGAGAGAAGTGGTATGTTGAGAATAAACTTCTGCACATTAATATGTCACTGCAGCCTTCGAAACATAGCTGTAAACATTCACACTCTTGAAATAACATCAATTGTAAAACATTTGACAAACAAATGGCACCAATTACCTGCCTTTTTGTGTAAACATATAAATATTTATAAAAAACTTTAATTACAATGTATTAAAATGCTGACATAAATTACAAGAGCCATAGGTTATTTGTACTGTGCCACCATCACACTGAGAAAAAGACCTCAAAGCCCTAAATTGAAATACATTACCATACATTTAAATCTCAATTACCAACCCATCTTCCCCCATTTTAATGTATAATCTGGATTTTAAAAATCTATTTTTTAATGCCAATATCATAATAAAAAGAAAATAAAGCAAACATGACATACACTGCACCCATACTTTCTTTCCTTTTGGCAATGAAATGCCATTAGCTTTACCTCTGTAAGTATTCTGTTCACAGTCATAGGTAAGAGTGCATGATATATACTCTTTATATCTAGGATCTTAAAATTACATGTATAAGTTATCCTCAGAAATATTTTCCTGGAAACATTTTCTTCCTCCCCACCAGTGGAGACCAGCAAATTATATTTTCTAGTATGATGGAGATCTGGTACTTTCATTGCTTACTTCACAAAGCCTGGATATGTGTCAGGCAGATCCATAACTTCACGTTGTGAAGGGAAGAAGGGAGGAACTTCACAGTGAGAGGGAAGAAGCGTAGAATCACAACAGCAGGACATGCAGGGTAGTATAATATATGTCTTCTTGATAAACACACTTGTCAAAAAGTCAGGCACTCTCCATCTCAGGGGAGAGGGAAAGAAACTAGTTTTCTTTGTTTCTAGTAACAAAAGATTATTAAGGTGTTTCTGGGTCTCATTATAGAAGGTAATTTTAGTGTCTCATGGGCCATCTCCTCTTCCAGTCTGCATTTTTTCTAAAATCCATTCAACCTTCTGTAAAATTATTAATTTTACTCATGCAGTGCCGCTGAAAATCCTAAGTAATTAACAAAAAGGAGTCTACAGAAAAGGAGCTGCCTTACAATTGGCTAAAAACTATCTCAGTCTAAGCCAGCTATATAAACTATCTTTTTTTACCACACCAGGGTAAGCCATTGATCCATTTTAATCATCTCTTATTTAAAGCTATTTCCCATGAAATAAATGCAACAAAACTTTAGATTTTCAGCTCCTGTAGAAAGTACATGTATTCATTAATACTCATACTAAGAAATTTGAGGAAGTTTTCTATGGAAATGCTGAGCTCCAACAGAAACACTGAAACGAAGTGCTGGCCACAGATTTTTAACTGGTGTCCACATTCCACTATTTAAAAAAAAAAAAATCTGTGGCATGCATTCTTATAGTGACATAAGTATCATATAGTATCATAAATCGTCTTTTAAAAAGATGTAAAACTGTAAGGCTGTTTGAACACAGATTTTAAATGTTCACTGGCCTATTAAAAATAATTTGAATAGCAAATCCTAGTGAACACTGACTTAAAAATGTTTACAGTAACAACTTATATACCCTTTTTGTAACAGATGCCTAAGAATCAAGAGAAAAAGAAATAAGAACTTGCCCCTATAGGTCTTTCAAACATCAAAGATACATATTCATCCTTTTCTTTTCCTTCATCTTTTTATTTTTTTAAGCTAACAGAGTTCATATATTTTTCTTTTCAATCAAGGAACCTCCAGCATGTAAATGTAACTTTCACACTTTTTCACTTCCTTCATGAAATTCTCCCTCTTGTAACTTTGAAAATCTACCAAGACATTCAGCACACAAAGATTATTTTAAACTGAAACAATAAGTAGATCAATAGTAAGCAGAAAAATGAAAATGTTCGCACCAATATGCACTGCTGCAAATTGTGAAGGACATCAAAGTCCTGTGATTTTCAGCTAATTACACAAAATGTAGCATCTCCTGGAAAACATGTTTTATAGTTCACTTCAGTATTTGCTTGCTTGTTTTTAGGGTGGGGTTTTTTTCTGGGGGAGAGGGGAGGGAGGAGGGTGAGAAAAAAAGGGTTTATTTGGATATTGTTTTTATCTACTGAGTATTTGAGAGGCCAAAGTCTCCCACAAAACTCTGTTTTTACTTAAGATTTTCAAAGATGTAATTCAAATTACAAAGAGATTCAGAGAAATATGATCTGTCCTTTACACATAAAAATTGCTTTGGAAATAGCCCAGAATACTAAAAGAAAGAAAAATTAAAAACTTGCTCCCTTGAGATGAGCAAAAGAGGTACATTTTACTAAACATAAGGTAAGCTCCGAACCAATTTCTATGCTGTATCACCATCAAACATTGACAAATAACAACCGTCTTTAATTACAAATATTACAAAGGCTTTTATAACATTACCCTCAATCTCATTACCTATACTTCATTAGAGCAATTCACTTTCTGTGTAATTAGTATTATTGAAAAATTCTCAGTACTTCATTGTAAGCTAGGGACAATCCTGAGCATATAATGTACTGATAGAGGAGCAGCATGTCTAAAAATGTCAACATAGCTAATTCATTAAACTTTTCTTCCCATACAAAGACTAATGCAGAACAATCTTTCTTATTCTAGCAAACATCAGGCCAGCTTTTCTGTTCAGTCTCTAGTTGCTTTGGTGTGCCTGCTCCAAGGGTCATGTCAATCTTTGTGTTTTACTTTATCAAGTCTGATCAAATCTTAGAAGATAGATGTACAAGTAGTGGACATATTATTTGCAAAATCTGCAGTTGGACCCTGCAGATTTAATGTACCTTTTCTGATGTCATTAGCCTCTTTAACTTTTTTACACTATAGAAAAACAAGGAAATTTTCTTTTATTCCAGTGCTATCTTCTGCTACTGTTTGATCAGCTATCCTGCACATTTTTCTCTCTGTGAATGCTCTGCCTCATAAATCTTTTTTGACTCATTCCATCTTCAGTCTTCCTTAGCTGCATTTGTAACTGACCGCATCTTACTCAATCTAATGATAATGACTACATTTTTCAGTTTTTCATCCTTTTAATGTTTCAAAGTCATTTATTTCTTGACCTTACCTGCCTCAAAATCTTCAGTCAGTAATGAAAAAGGGGGCAGCTTTCTAGAAAGCTGTAAAAATCCACCAGGGAGAAGACAAGTTGAATCCTCATCATTTAATGACTGCCTCATTTTCCTCCCCATTTCCTTTACATTACATATGGGAACCTTACAGATCAACAAGAATCACTATAAGTAGAGCACTATTACTATAAGTAATAACATTTATTGATTGTATCATGCTTCATGTTTTCCTGGCAAATCATTATTATCTAACCTTTCTAATCCCTGCTGACCATGTGCTTTCAGGTCTTTAGTCCTGCTTCTGTTTAAATTTCCACCACCACCTGTTCACTTCCAAAATCTATGTAACTGCTAGAAAACTTTCAAATTTTTAGCAAAATCTCTTCTTCTCTTTCTGAGGCCAATGGAGAGGACAAGGTATTTTTATCCTGATAAAAAAAAACCAGAATTAAGTAATCTGAATTACTTTAAGTGCAGTACCAATTCTTTAAAACTCCACAAAATTCTTGAATGACTGAGTATGATTACATCAAGGAGCTACAGCAGGGCAGCTACGCATTGATGGGTAATCCATACTTTTTGAGATGATGTATAGTTCAAAATATAACAAGTTTTCTGCATCCCTCATTTTGCAATCCGTGATGCAAACTCTGTGATCTGTACACTGAGAAAAATCTGCAAACGGAAAGATAATCAGTCTCCATACAAGTCGTACATATGTGCCTATACGACAAACTTAAGAGTTCTAGCTGGAACCGACCTATAGTCAGTTCTATTCATATTGAATAGATTCATCATCTATTCATATTACCTCACTACTTCAGGGCTGACAAAAAGTTAAAACAAATTAAGGGCATCATCCAAATACCTCTTAAACATTGATATGCTTGGGACATTAACTGCCAGACTAGGAAGCCTCCTCCAGTTTGAAAACACTCATAGCAAACAAATGCTTCCTAACACATCTGAACCCTGATGCAGGTCTGAGGCATTGCCTCATGTTCTACATATGGATCTCAGGAAGAAGTGATAAGCAACTCCTTTTTCACTTCCCCTTCTCAGCAAGCTGCAGAGAGCAAGGAGGTCAGCCCTTAGCCCTCTTTTCTCCAAACCAGACAAGCTCAAAGCTCGCAACAGATCCTTACAAGATATTCCTTTCAGTCCTTCCATTGGCTTTGCTGGATGTACTCCATCTTTACAAGAGAATTTGACACTTAATTTTCATGCCACTCATGACTGCATGAGTGGCATGAAAATTAGTGTTCCAATCTATCTGTATGCTTCTGCAAGCCCCCTTGTCCCTTGAGAGAGTCAACAGCACCTCACAGTTTATCAAATATTAAACTGTTATTAGGTCAAACATTACTGCAGAGTACTACAGTCTCTGTACTGTTATAAAGAATAAAACTGTAGTCCACCATCAAGAGTTAGAATGATCATCTCTCTGGAGTTAAAAGCAACGGTATGTCATTCATACTCACTTTATGTTCTCATTTGAGGGTACTTCTGGAAGCTCCACAGTTATCATGCCATCTAAGTTGGTCTTTCCAATGAAGACTGGCTTTGTGCGAAGCACGTCTGGTGCAGTCTTTGCAGTAACTCTGTGCTGAAGACCCCCAGCACTATTCCCTCTGTTTGTCAGGACAAATGAATATGACGTCTCTGGCTTCAAGTTTGTGATCAGCTTTTGAGTAGCTCGTCCATCAACTTCCATTTTCCCATCATCATAAAGGATCTAAGTTAATACACAAAGGCAGTTTGTGTTACTAGGAGAAGGCAAATGATGCTGTCACATGGAATTCAGGAATCAGCCTAGTGATAAATTAAAATAATAAATAAATTTAAATTTATTGGGAAATTTTAGGGTGTAAAACAGTACTGAATTCACTGCTGCAAGTAAACTGCTCACTTTCAGGGGGAAAAAAAAAAAAAAGTACTACATTAATATAAAGCAATGTAAACACTCCTGAAATACAGTTTCACTTTTTCAAAGTAAGCAGCTTTGCTTGAACTCAGAATTTAAAGCAAGGTACTCTTGTTAAAAGTAGGTTGACTTTTTCATTCATACTCCTTATTTAGAAAGGATTTTGTGCCATTTAGTTCCTAAAATACTGTTCTTCACTTGCCACTGTCTGAGATGACACAAGTGATTAAGATTGAAGCAGAACAAATTCCAGGCAGACTGCATGTTACACTGAGTCTCTGTATCTGGATAAAGCTATAGCTAGTGGAGTAAAAGAACTGCAAATCAAAAATGTGCCACTGTACATTGAGGAGACAAAACCCAAAATGGTACTCGATTGCATTTGCCATGGAAAGGACTGGAGAAAAAAAGAAGAAAATTTTTCTTTCAATCTTTTCTTTAAAATACTGTAGCGGTAAATGAAAAATTAGCAATCTTAGAAACAATGATACTCCCAATACATGTTCATTATATATGATCAGTAAGCTACCTAATTAGGTAAATACATTGTCTAATTTCTGTTATTTTCTCTTGTACAAATGGGAAGTAACTTACTTTGAAAGGCAGTGCTGAATTGTAGTTTTCTGGAATTTCCCAGGACAGCAAAACAGAAGTCTTCATTACTGCTTTAACATGAAAATTTTTTGCAAACACTGCTGGAAAAAAAGAAACAATGTATATAAACAACATCTTGGAGCTCAGATCTTGTCGTATTTCCACTGCTACTTGGGAGTATTAGCTTTCCATTTAGGTAAAAAATCAATAAGGATTCAATTCTCCTACCTGTTTGCTCATATTTAAATATCACATTTAAGCTGTTCTCACTCTTATCTAGTGACAACCCAATACACACATTTTCCTTACCTGAAAATACTGTGAAGAAGTTAGCCAGAACTTGCTTGGCAAGGGACAACTGAATTCTAAGGCATCCAAAACATATTAAGATTTGCATACTTTACCTTTTGTGTTTGATGAACCTATTTTTATGAATGGGCCAGTCAGTTTTATTTACACCTTCAAAAACACTGATATCCAAAGACCGATACTCCTTTAAAGGCCAACGCCATAAGCAGACAAATCCTACCTTGATCCACGGGTAGTGTCCTGAACTGGACACTTGGACTATATGGACCAGGCCCTTTGCTTGTGTGGGCACGTACTTTTACATCATAAGTGGTATCTGGTTTTAAGCCAGAAAGTGTCATAGTGGTATCAGCAGGAACAACAGGGAGTTCAACTGGCTGGTAAGCAACATTGATATCTCTGTACAGGATGGTATACTTGGTGATAATGCCATTTCTTTCTGCCAAGAGTGGCATCTGCCAAGTTAATTGAACTGATGTAGAAGTAGAGCTTTCCGAGTGGAGATTTTGGGGAAATCCACTGGGTACCTCTTCAGGAACAGAAATCTCTTTAACCATCTCCTCCCCAAAGCCCACTTTATTTCTAGCTGAGAGCCTGAAGATATAAGAAGCTCCTTTGTGAATGTCTGTGGCCGTGAAGTGATCTTCCTTCTCTGAGAACTCCATGGTTGTTAATGTATCCATGTCTTTGCGACCAAACTTCAGGCGATAACCCTGCAGCGGGCCAAAAGTTTCCACAGGAGGATGCCACTGAATTAGAGCCGTGTTCATCTGTGTGTGGCTAATCACAAGCCGAGGTTTGCCTGGAACTGTAGCACAATGTTATTTAAAGAGGATAGATATAAACACAATTGCACGTACAATTATTGAGGCTAGTTTTAGCAGGAATAGGGATATATTTCATCTTTCCTCACTCTTAGTTCCAATTATGGCTGTCCTAATGAAGAAATAGTGTCTGGCTCCTGTACTATTTAGTCATACAGTATAAGGAACTGCAACAGTAGAGATGTTTACTGCTTTTTTGTCTTCTTCCCTTACCATTATTTCTAAATACAGAGCACATTCAGAGGCACAGGATCTAGAAACACAAATCAAGAAGTAAAACTTCCAACAAACGTCTTATGAATGGTCCTGTCTCAGAAATCCTTGTTTGCAAAAAAAAGGAAAAAAAAGTACTGTCGTAAGTTTTCATGTGTTTACTTTAAGGCACATTTCCTGAAAATGGGAAAATAATTAACGAAGAAATAACAAGTTCCTAGATGAGTTTAACATAACTTTTATCATTTATAGTTAAAATGGGGCAGAAGTCAGAACAACCTTGCCTTCAGAAATGACTACTACATGATAGAACCCTGTCATTCTAGTTTCCATACACAAATCACTTCCACCTCCACTGTTACAGTGTGGAGAGGCAGCACAGGTTGGAATTTAATATTTTCCAGCATGGTGTATCACATATGATTTATTTTCCAGCATGGTTTTTGTGCACATGACCTGGATTTCTTCTGAAGAAGGCTAAATTGGTAGCTCTTCTTAACTTATACACTACATAAGTAATAATCTTAATTGGGACCCATTGGTCCAAACTGGCAATTTGTCTTTTAGGGAAGTTTGGACTGCAAGTGTGGTACAGACATTGAGAAGGAATTGAATTGAATCAGTCCTAAACAAACCAGAAATGTGTGTATATATAGTGTACATTTTTTGAGTCCCAGTATGAATTCTCATTTACTGTTTTTATTTAATTAATTAATTACTTTTAATTTATTCACATCCATTTGTATATATTTAATTTATATTTTCATTAATACTTCTATTTTTAAAAAGACCGTTTCTATTGCAGAGATTTATTTGATAATGAAGCATATCCATAACTATTCAGAAATTTGGTGTTCATTCCATACCAATGAATGACAGGTCAAGAGAACAGAGTAATTTTGGGAGTAGTACTGCAATGACAACACAGTCTTCAACAAAGACTAATTAGTTTCATCTGCATTCGAAGTCTTCCCATGTGAATATAACTGCTACACTGTGAGCTCTGGTTCCTGTATTTAAACACTTCAATAGATTTTATTACTTATCTTCAGTTCTCAGGCACCCAGCAAATCAGATTGTGATTGTCAGAAGGTCTAACTACCAATCCATAAAGAATTAGGAATAAGGAGGGAAGAATGGCATGCCTTGAAAAAAATTCTGCATTTACTAAGCTCTTTCCTCATTACATCTGTCACAAGTCATGACCTTGTTTCTAATTTTATACAAATTATAGGTAGGTTTTATAGAAATTTTCAAAATATCTTTAAATTTAAATGTTGAGTTCACCTGGCAGCATTATTGTGGAATCCTGTGAGTGTTTTCTCACACCTTCTGCTGTGTAAAGAACGTATCTCTGGTTTGTTCTGACTTGCTCTCATTGATAACTAAAAGAGAAGGCCGTGATGAAAGCCTTTTGCAGACCATATTTTTCTCTGCATTCTAACTAGTACTGGCAGCAGAGTAGCAGAGGAAAGAACAGTTTACAAAAAAAAAGAATAATACTCCTTCAGCTTCCTAGAGAAGAGATTACTGAAAGGTGTAACTAAATTATTTTTGTTATAAAATTTTTCTTTTGCTCTTGTGCCAGACTTCAGAATTAGAGCTACATTTTAACTTCTCAGAACCAGGGAATTAATAAAGTTTACTTATCCAAATAAATACCCTGTGACTTAAATAGTAAATGACAATGGTCAGAAGTTTTTTTAATACCATAAAGCCTATCTGATGTTGCAAAGCAGATAAATTTCTTTTTATTTCCAGACAGCTTTCAGTTAACATTTACTTTCAGAATGATTTACTTATGAATATTATAATCTTTTAGGACAAATGACAGGTTTCTGTGCAGCTGTATATACAGTTATGCCACCAAATAGCTCTGTCTAGAAATTTCTGGTAATAACCTGAATTTTTCATGAGCCTAGAAGAAGTGAAATTTTTCATAAAATAAAATATATTCTCTGATCTAGTGAAAGCCTCTTCCACTAGTACATAGCAAGACATCTCTCACACCCCCCTTTGCACCAGACATTTCTGCTGCAATGGCTTGCCGCGCTGCTAGCAGAAGCTCATGCAAGCTGCTTTTGCCAAATTACCAGAAGTAATTTGTTTCTGTTAGATGCTGTAAAGTACACCACCGTCTTATTATAAACCGTTTTCTTTTAGCTGAAATCTGTATTTCCAGAGTGCTGTCCACTATGAGAGTAAATGTACCTTGACAAGTAATAGACAAGCTATTGTCCTATGAGATTCTTCAACTACTGTGACATAGAAATTAAAGGTCTGATTAAAATCTTCATAAAAATTGTATATCACTGACTAGTAAGTCTTCATTTTTATCAAGGTCTTGTTAATAATACGTTTTGTAACTTCTGCCCATTAATTTAATTTAATTTAATAAGTAATTTAATAAGTAATTTGATTTAAAAATATTCAGTTACAGTTTTTATTACATCTGATTTCAATAGTGAGGAAAGGAAACCGAACATAAGACAAATGCATACTCTTGAAAATATCAACAGCGTTCTGTGACTTTACTAAAAACTGAGTTACCATACTGTAGGCTTACCGATGTTTGGTGAATCTTTCCTGCCTGAAAATGTAAATTACTCTTTTGTATCACTAACTGGACAGCTGACTGGTTTCTTATTTTGCCTGAATACCTTACAGATAGCTTCTCTGGCAATTGTTCAGATATCTATTCTCTTTTCATATCTTTTATGGACATAATCTCAGTCAATCTCATTCAAACTTTGGAAGTTAGACTAGAAAGTCAGATCCTTCATTTTCTTTATCGTAGTATTCCAATAGCACCTTTCTAGAAAAAAAAAAAAATCAAATGGAAACTCAAAATGTATAGGAGACTGCATTACAGACCTACAACCCTTTGGTGTTAACACATCGTTCATTCCCTTGTGGTGATGCATTCTCACAGATAGTGAGCAGGAAGCTCTTAGTACTGACTATTCAATGTCTGTTTTTCCAAAAATCTGCATACAAATTTTTCTTACAGAAACAGGCAAAACACAGTAAGCTGTAACATCAAGTGAAGAGATTTCATAAAGTCTGGGATTTATGAAAGAGCAAAATGGTAACTAGCTGTTAATCCCAGGAACAAGCATTACTTGTTCACAGGGTTAAGCAGACAAGAACAGTGTGATATACATTACATTTACAGACATGCTTCTGATTCTCTATTGCTTTTCAGACAAGTTTATAGGGGACATAGGATTTGTTCTGTATTTTTAAATTAGAAGCATCAGAGATCTTGGTAGAATGACACATGAACAGTCAATAAGCACTAAATGCAGTGAAACTTTAAGTTTTGCAGGAATATTTGCATAACCTATGTTTATGTCTAGGAACTAATAAAATCATAATTTGTATAATTGTGTTTATTTAAACTGCTAATTGAACTTAAAAAAAAAGAGTAATGGATCAAGTGCTTTTTTTTTTCCTTAAATAAAGTTCCAACACATTCCAGAAATATATAATCATCTTTTTTTCTCAGAGTATGAGAATTCAGGAAAAATAAGAAGTTACACAGTAAATTTCAGCAATAGCCAAGAGTATTGACTAGAATGTATTCTACGATTCTCTGAAATGAAACACTGTGCATCTAGCCACCAAGACTGAGATCTTTCCAAGGAATCTAACATGAAAAAGTTGTAGATGGTTTTGATATTAATACAGGATATGTTCTGCATTCAGTGATTGTTTTAAAAATTGAATCAATCACTATAAATACAAATATATATGCCTTTTGGATTTTATCTATTAGCATAAACAAAACACTGTTATTCATAGAGCTTGTAATGGTGTTACGTGTGATTGTAATAGAATATCCTTAATGGCTGCACTACAAAAGCCCTGAAAATGAACCCAATACCTACAGATTGTGAACACCTGTAGGTAAGCATCACACTAAACCTGTGGTGGCATCCATTGGTTAAGCTGTGCCACAGTGACCTATTAAAAAAAAAAAAAAAAGAAAATGTTCCTTATCTAAAAGCAGTTTGGTTCATCCCACCTGTTCTAACTGCTGTATTGGTTATGCAGTTGAGACATCCAGCATTTAGTACCACCTGAGATCAAATGCAGACTGAGCACAGCGGCAGGGGGTATTTTGCCCCAGTAATTCCTTAAATTACCCCTGAATATATACAGGCTTCAAGATTTCACAGGATGGAGTTTCACTCTGTTTTCCAATTCTCTGCTTTAATAATTATACTATTATGAGATAAGTTGTGAATGTCATACAGATGGGTTCTTTCAATGTTTTTACTGGCAGGCAGCAGTGTTGCTGTTTGTTGCATGAAGATCATGAAAGCCCTTTACAACTTTTACAAAAATATCTTTCTCAGGTCCAAATTTCTATTTTTTCCTCTCAAAGAAGACACCAATAATAGTGGAAGAGCTACTAAAAACTAGGAAATCACCTCATCATGGACCTAAGAAAGGGACAAAAGGAGTCACTGGCTCTATTTTTATCTAAATAAATGAAGGTCCAAATACTGAAACTGAAACTGAAAAGAAAATCCTATGTCCTAGAAACACTTTTCACACAACAGATTTCCAAATAGTAGGAACATAACAGCAACAGAAAAGGTCAAAAGATTCATTCAGAGCTTAATTTGTATAGAAGTATTACCTGCACCAGTAGTAGATACAAGTTTGGGTTTGCTGCGTGCTCCATCACCTTTTGTTGTATAGGCTGTCACAGTGAAAGAGTATGTGGTCTCAGGCTGAAGCCCAGAAATTATCATTTCCTAGGATGAAATAAAATAAAATAAGAACAATTAATTTAAAACAGATTGTTTGCCAGGAGAATGCAGAATCCTCTAGAAACCCCATTTACATCACATTTTTGAGCTACTGGCAGTGATAGCAAGCATTTGAGTGTGCCAACAGACTGTACTGGGTGAAATAATGCAAAACATTTCACGCACTTAGGCAATAGGACAGCACACCTCTAAGTAGTATGGCTCAGGTAGTTTAAAGCAAAAGGCCAAAGGCTTAGTGGTGTGAACAGTGAAAAAAGTCTTCAGAAATACCCTGCCTGAGGAATATTGCTGACATTGTGAAACACATGCACATGTAGACACAAGAAACTCAGTTTAACTTAGTCATTAACAGGATATCACCGATCTAGATGTAAAATGCCTAGTAAGAAAAATGTTGCATGTACATGCACACTTTTTAAGTAATGATGGTGTAGCTGAACAAAAAAGTCTTGTTATTTCCGTAACACTTTCACTGCAACCTGTATCACTGGGTAGACTGTGCTTCACAATATCTGAAAAGACTTCAGAAACAACCAGCCCTTCAGGTCTAAAAGAACTATGTAAAACACCACTAAAAATCTGGTCAAGGGATAGATATGATGGCCCTCAGCTGACAGCAGCTACAAAGCAAGTAGCTCTTCAGCTAGAGCAAAGTAAAGCAACAGCATCAAACTGTATATATCAGGGCAAAGGGGTATTTTTTCACACGTGTGTGCACACATACACGCACACAGAAGATGCTGAATGGTGTATGAGAAATATACTACACTTATGTCCTGCTACAAGGACAGCAAGAGGAGTAAGTTTTGACACTAATAATATAAATAAATCTTATACACAAATATAAAGGGACAGTCTTCAGAGATAACTGATGGGCCCAGAGCCTCCAACTTCCAGCCTGTAACCATTGGACTACTCTCCTTTGCATTTTTATATGCCTGAATGAACTTGCACTAAATTTCAGTGCTGCCAGAGGGATGGTGTATTTATACATCTAGAATAAATAGCAAATGTGCAATCACACATCCCTCAGATGCAACAGCCATGAAAAGTTAATATAAAAATCATGGGCCAGACTATTCATAGTATATGGATTTTTCAAGATAGTGGATATGAGCTTAGTAAAGATGTGATTAGAATTCAGCATTTTATTTACAGTCAGTTAATAGCAATATCGAAATAAAGAGGAAATGAGCAGAATGAGTGGGCAAAATAGGTCAAATAAAAAAAAACAAACCGAAACAACAAAATGAAACAACATATAACAATCTCCTATCAAAAGATCCCCTTCTTAGACTCTATCTCAGAATTGAATTGAATTGGAAGACTTCATATCTTTTGTAAGAAAACTGCACTTGGTACTACCAGAATTAAACTGTAAAAGACAAAAAAAAACCCCCACAAAACTATACAATATAAAGACTTATGAAGATATTAGCTTCATCTAAAACAACCAGTACCTCATGATGTAAGAGCTATGGCTGCATGTAATGTTCAAAGTGTGGTTTGGATACAGCAAACATTATTACTTAGGCATAAACACTGCAGGGCATCTGGCTTTCCATGATAGCATGTAGTTATTTTATCCAAAGAAAGCACAACTGACTTCTACTTTCAGTTACACACACAAAAAAAATTAACCTTAAAATGAATACAGAAAAATACAACTATTGGTATGTAACTCTGAACTGCTTCTGTTTTATTTTTCTATCACCTTGTAAAGAAGAAATTGTGAGGCAAAGTTAGTGACAGCCATCAAAAAGATGGAAAACACAAATCAGTGCTGTACATTTTGGCATCATGCTAAACCCCAGAACAGGCAAGCAGCAGTAACCCTATTCTCCCTGGGAAAATAAAAAAATAAAAAAATAATAAAAAAAAAGAACAACAAAGGAAAAAGGTGTCATAAGCGAAAACCTTTGATGTTAGGAACATGCATTTGTGCAAATGACATAAAAACCCTGCAAAACAAAAACAACAAACCCAAAGAAAGCCCAAAAAAACCCCTAACCCAAACCAAAAACATACAATGCTACAAGCAAACAAGCAAGACAAAAGAATCTCAACCCAAACACACAATGTTTTTCTGCCCAGTCAAAAAGTACTTACATGTTCAGTAGTATCATCATATTCCCACTAATTTAGAGTAAAGGAAGTGGAAAGGAAAAACAAAAGAAATAAGGAGATTTGTAGCCTGGTTGAGATAAAGTTTTCTTCTTTATAGTAAAATGAATATGGAAGATGTCTGAAAAAGTCATGTACAGTTTGAATTATCCATGTAGAATCACATGAAATTTGGTTAATGAAATCAGACCAGGCATCTTTAATTCTATTTCTGTTTTCCCTAAAATCCAGCTACTTCTTTTTCACTGACAAAAAAAAAAAAAAGAAGTAATGAATCCTCTTGTATAATATAGTACTATTTTAAAATAGTTTTTATTAAAAGTTGCCAAGGCAACATTAAAGGCTACCTAGTTTATATAACCATGTTACCAGGCTATAATGCTTCAGTTTCCTAAACTAATGCAATGCATTAAGTCTTGAATCCACACTGATATTTTACCATCAAGGTCTTTGTAGATGCAGAAGCCTTGATCACATGTATCACAGAAGTACTATAGGCAGGAATGAGGGGCAGGAAGACAAAGGAGCTGATGATCTTTCATGAAACAGTGGCAAGTGAGCAGGTCAAAGTTAAACTTGGCAAAAGAAGAAATACAACTTTTGCCTTTCTGCTGTTTGGACTCTAATGTCTCCAGTTACTGACCTTTTCGTGTTTAAAATAATTTTAACTCCCCTACCACAGAGAAGTTGAAAGTAAAAATTTGTGAAAGGAAGAAGAGAACCAAAGCACACTAGCATGTCCTTTTCCATCTCCTCTCCCTTTTCCCTTTCCCTTCCCACTTCCTGATCTACTTCCATCTTCGTCTCCACTGAATTCAAACCCTAAACACCACGTTTTCCAGAACAGGAAAGTAAGTAATGGCAGCAAAGTCCTCCAAAAACACAGTATTTTGCAAATAGGGTGATGAGCAAAATGCAGGTGTAGGCGACCTATTCTCCAAAGAGGTCTCTGCAAATCTAAGATTCAGAACTAAGACAGGAAAGGCAAGAAAAAGAAAAGGCACCCCCCCCCCCCCCCCCCCCCCCCCATTTGTTTACCCATATAAAGTGCTTACAAAATCGATTTTACTCTTTGATTTAGGTAAATAATTTTTTTCTATTTCCTGCCAATCCATTCAAACTGTGAGCTAGCAGTGAGACACGTATAATAGATAATAGTTTCCCATATGATGACTCCTTCAATGTCAGAAGCTTTGGAAATCTAAAGTTTTACTTAAGTACTCTTATATCTCAATCAGTAAAATCTTAGTTTGAGAAGCTTTTAAAATTGGATATTTTCATTATCTCATAATCTCATAATTTCTCAAACAGATGGGAAATTTTGCAATATAAATAACCACATACTTATTCAAACTGAGTTCCTCATTTTACTAAAGCTCCTGATATGAATACTGAAGAGTATAATACCTCAGTGGTTTCTGAAGTTACATTAAGAACATTAATTCCATGTGAAATGGGTAGTAAGGTGTGTACAAGCTGATCAGAGAAACACTGTAATAACAGGCAAACATAGGCTTCTAATGATTCTAGGCTCTCCACTGAAACAATGAAATAGGAGATGGATGGATCAAGCCATGCAGAGTTTGCTACGCTGATTTTGAGCTGGATCAGATCACCCTTATGCTTGAGTGTAGGTAAAGTCTCCAGGTTTAACAGAACCACAATAATGACATAGCTCAGCATTTAGTTGCTGATCAATCGAGAAGAAAGTGTCTTGTTTTGGCTGGAGAACCTTTAAATGCAAGTTGTCTGAAAAAAGTCTTTAAAATAGAGACTAAAAATGCTAGCTGGCAGATGGCTAAATAGAATGAAAAAAGACCCTTAACAACAAAAGGCAGTTTTGGATTGCTCTATGGTAAATGAAATGTTTTCACTGTGACCTAAAAAAGAAGGGAGTGTCCCAGTTACCTGTGCATCTGCTAGCATGATGTCCTTCAGCATGGGCTGAGGAGGACCACTAGGAACTGGAACAACATCATTGGACAGAAGAGAATTACAGCCACCTGTCCCACCCATGTCTTTCCGCTTTTTTTCTTTAAGAAAGGGCAGACTCACTATGTTGTCTTTGAAGAATATAAATCATTCAGCAAATGAAAATGCTCAACAAATCTGCTCTACCTTTCAGTGAAAAGATCAAAAAACATGACTGATGCAAAAAATGGAAGAAAAAGGAGTATTAGAGAAATAGAAAAACATGTAAAAATGTACAAAAGCCAAGGAAGATGCTTTGAGATTCAAAGCATTATAATACAAAGAGATATTTTAATCATTGAAATAATAATACTATAATAATAACAAAACCACAAAAGATTAAAAAAAAGTTTCCTTTTTTTTTTTTGTTTGTTTGTCAAGTTCTATGTTTTATTTTGGTTTGTTTTTTTCCCCAGGATAAAAAGGAGGCTGATTACAAGGATGTCTTCTGTTACTTTCAAGAGTGGAAGAAAAGAAAATGTGTGGAGCATCAGTTTTCCAAGATCAAAAAACAAAACTAAAAAAAGCCAACAAAAAAAAACCAAACAAACAACCCAAAAAAACCCTCAAATCAAAAAGCACAATATGGAGGAAGAAAACAGTTTAAAAAAACTAAAGCAACCAAAAAACCAAGACCTGAAAAAAAGTTTATAGACGTAACTTTTTAAAAATGGCAATGACTGTAAAATCAAGGAAAAGGCAGAAAAGTTTTTTCCCTAAGAGAAATTTTTCATTAAAGGAGGAGCAAGAAGGAGGGGCTCAAAGGAGCAGCAGATTCATGTCACTTGGGAAAAAAAAAAAAAAAATTTCTGATAAAAAAATACAAAAATAGAAAAATGGTGTAGAAAGAACAGTCTTTGATTAAAAAGCTCAAAGGGTGACAATATCTGGTTATATTTGGGAAAAAAAAAAAAAGAGGAGCAGAAAAAATTACTGTTAGCCTATACAAAAGACAGCAGATGACAGAGTCATAGAGGTGCAAACTGATGTAGTGGAGGCAACATACCATCTTCATCTGTCCGAATCAATACTGCTAAGCTCTCTGGGCCAGGTCCAACATCAGTGTGAGCAGTCACAGAGATCCGGTACTCAGTCCATTTTTCCAGCTGTTCCAAAAGGTACTGGGTACTGTCCGAGGAAATTCCCAAAATTTCATGGGGCTTGACATCTTCTCCATCAATCCCAATGTACTTGATGGAGTATGCAGTTATAATGCCATTCTGTTTTTCCACCGGTGGAGGTTTCCAACTTACCAAAATGCTAGTGGAGCTGGGGCTTGTGCAACTAATGTCTTGAGGAGGAGCTGATGGCTCTAATTTCAGTAGTGGGTTAAAGGAGGATTTGAGTGGAAGGATAGAAGTGATTGAAAAAAATGAACAAAAGAAAAAATAAAAATAAATAAAAGACAACCAAATGAAAATAATAAATAAACAAAACGTAGAAACTCAAAAAAGCAAAACATCAGATAATCATATGCACCTTGGCTTATTACCATGAGGAAACTGAAAATGAACGGACGAACTAAATGGTGAAAAAGGATGTAGGGGAAATACATGAAAATGAAGCCTCAAAATAATATTACCTACCTGTAATTAAAATTCTTCTTGAAATAAAACAAAAACGTGATACTTCTATGACTACTGACCTATCTTCATAATCCTTGCAATTAGTGCAAGCTGTAACATTTTAAATAATACATAACATGTATTTACTTACAAATTTTGACATCCCCTTCAAGTGGCTTTACTTTCCTTAAGACAGAAAATCTCTTTACACAAGTCCTAAAAACTTGCAATAATTGCTAGAAATTGTTCCATGGGTTGCTATTTTTTTGCAGCCTTTCTATTCTCATAAACAAATTATCATTTTTTTAATGAGTCTGCCTGACACAAGTCAACCATAAATTACATATAAGTTGAAAACAGTTACTGAAACATTTATTGTAGCTAACATACTATGAGCATGCAGTCCATAGAAGATGTAGAAAAGTCTTAGTCAAAGATTTACCTACCAGGAAAAAGTGACAGGCTTGTTGATTCTGACTGTAACTTGTACTTACCCTAGATCAGCTGTCAGTTTTATTTTTTTAACTCCTCTTGGAGACACCTTTGCTAGCAAAGAATTATTCCTACCAGTAATGTATATTACTTTTAAAGGAAAAGAAAAAATTCTAACCCAAACAATGTGTAAAGAAAGCAGGTATTCATTTTACAAAGTGAGTTTACAAGCTCAACACATCAGAATGTGAGTTTCTGACTTTGTTTCATCTCCTGTCAGCATCACCAGTCTTCCAGAGCAGAAATGCTCACCTTTACTCATTTGTTCTCAAAGGAATATGTTAGCATATTTACCTTTTCCAAGCTTCAGAGCATTTAAGCATGCATGTCATTCCACTGCTTTCAGTGACGCAAATCAAGTACTGAAAGTTAGGTATGCATTTATGTGCTTAAATGCACTCTGACTTACCAAAATCTATGCCTACTAACAGATCATTCAGAGCACCAAAAAAAGGACCCATAATTCAAACTCACTAGCAGAAGGAGAGGGTGTGAATTCCTTTCCTATTTTTGCCTCCTTTCTTGTAAGAAAAACATAAATTTTGTGTGTTAGACCTTTATTCCCCTTTATATCCCCCTCTCCACCTTTTCTTCCCATTTCTTAAGGGAAAAAAAGAAACAAATGGATACTTATACATGCTTATAATAGTGACATCAAACAAAATTAAAACAACAGAGAAGGCCTAGGACCCTGCTGTGACCTACTACATTTATTCATGTATCTTTCGCTTCCCTACAGCTCTTTCTACAGGGATCAATGGCTTCTTATTCAGTATGGTACACTGCTCCTCCAAAGGAAGAGAGGAGGGAGTTTACTAGTATTTCAATTAACTAGAGGAGGTGGATGGAAGAACAGATGAGAATTAACACATTTGGGGTTATTTTTATAGACTAATTCAGTAATCAAGTACACAAAACAAACGGATTCCCTTCTACCATTAACTTGTGCAGGAAGTAAAATACATGTAAAATGTCCCTAAGGGTCTTACAAAAAAAGAAATAAATCCCTGCAGCATCTTCCTCTGATATCAAGATGAAAGGCAGTAGCACATTCTGGTGAATATTGCTAATAAAATCACAGAAGTTTATTAATTTTTAATCTATTATACTCTGAAAATGCAAAATATTGCACTTATGTAACTAAGGATAATTTGAAGGGTACTTTAACCAGTTTTATTAATGCATATATGTTTTTTCTCAATTGCACATTTTTTTTAAAAAGAAAAGTAATCTTTGCAGCAAATAATTTGGACCTGACCACTGAAATCAACTGGATTTCACTACTGTCTGAAGACACAAGGCTGAGAAAAATGTAACATATTCTTATATTCAAGAAGAGAAAATGGCAATGTGCTTATATATGAAACATGCAGCCTTGGCTCCTAGATGTTTGTTTTGTATGCAGTCTAAGCAACCTTCATCCAATATAAAATAATGAGCATTCCAAATAGTTGAAATGGCTCCCAGAATAAATCGATACCTATTTCTTATTCAAACTATTAATTCTGAATTACAAAACTGAAAAGTTGCCTTGCCATTATATCTAAAACTAATCTTTACTGTCTTTTATGCTAATTCCAAGTGCCTTAGAAATGCTTCAGAAGCACATTTAGCTTTGCTTAAAGGTGAGCAGCACCGTGTCTCCAGTCACACTAACTGATATTAATATATAACACTAACAAGGAACAATTGTATAATCACATGTCATAACTGCAAACTAAAAAGACTCGTCAACTGAGAAACTGGATTTTCTGCTTTGAATAGTCTTGAATGAATACTTTAAAAGCAGGCAATTTAATTTAAAACAAATACAAATAAATTTGTACTAAGTTTTTCAATGACACATTGTAATGCAAACTGTCAAGAAAGCATAATTTGTAAAACAAGAATAATCCTTCTGGACACCATTGCTGAATAGCTGATGGTTTTAGTTAAGTCTTCATTTAAATGCTTTAAGGTGTATATGTAAGTCCCTGATAAATCTTTACATCTCAAACTGTTTTTCTCCAGGTGGAAAATGACTGAATATCGTAAAAAAACCCAGAATAAGAAAATTGAACAAAATTAGAATGATAAGATACTATAGAAGAGTTGCTAAGAAATATCTGGTACAGTCTTAAATATTCATCCTGATCCATTCTACAGATTTTTGCACTTCAGGGAGATGCTGCAGAAACAACCTAGGAAGTATGCAGAATGGGGAGGTGGAATTTTATTGACTGTTATTAATGTACACCTATGGCATGATACAACATTTCACCTTATTATAAAATAAAATTTTATTATGCCAACATTTTATTGCCTCCTTAGACACTGTTTTATTTGGGTTGTTTTATGAAGCTATGAAAAAGCCATTCATATATTAATTTGATCACAATACACCTTAAAAATACACATTTTAGGCATTATTTTGCAGTATCAAGCAACATCAACACTGTATTTTGCTTCTTTCTCTGTTTCTGCCTACCTAGGCTACCGAGATTAATCTCTTTGAGAAAGAGAAACCAAGAGAATAAATATTTCAAGGAAAGACACCTACTTGACTGCATGGTTCTCGCTGAGATTTCTGCTGTTGAAGCACCCAGCCCTTGAGGAGAGCGTGCAGCTAGGCGGAACAAGTACAGGCTGTTTGGCCTTAAGCCTTGCAGACGATACGATGTAGTAGGTTCAGTGGAAACCCGTTGCTAAAGGTAGATGATAAGAGAATGTCTTGGTTAGCATTCAGAGACTCTGAATTCCATATATTGCATGTATGCTTTTATACTGGGATTTATTACTTTTAAGTAAACCATGGAGAAAAGCTTAAATTCAAGAAATAAGGCAGAACAAAACCAAACGAAATAAAACTAAAACTGCATACATTACTTTTGACAAATGTTAATAAACTATTATTTTAAAGTCAACAGTTTAATGGGTGAAACTCAGAGACGCAAACAAAGCTTGACTGTTTGATGAACAAATATCTATATATGAAATATGGGAGGCTTTTCAGACAATACCACATGAGCAAAGCCTTACCTATAACTGTCTTTTGTGGCAGTGATTTTATAGGGTAAGTTATCTTGGGTTTAATCTTGTAGTTAAATTTATATTCAAATTATGAAAAGCAAATTCTTCCACGGGGTAACTTATTAAGCAGTGGCCTGCATCCTATTTGGAAGTGAAATATGGACCGGCCCCCTTCCACAAAATAAACTTGCGAATTGACAGTGTATGTATGAAACTGCCATGAACATAAACTCAGTTGAAGCATCAGCAATGACTTGAAGATGCAGGAGAAACCAATGAGGCTGACTATCTCTTGCATCCTTCTGAGACTCCTGGCTTCTTTCTTTTCTGCGATACCTGGCAATACAGCATTTTCCCTATCAGAAGAACAGCTTAGTCTAAAGTTTATGGCAGGATAGAGGCCCACAAACTGAAAATTCTTTATGAAGTAATGGTACAGAAAAGGTCTATTACAAGTTTTAATCTTTAGAAGGAACCTCCTATTTTCTTCTTAATTATTACTGAAAGATTAGAAAAGCTTGGGAATTCTCTTACACAATGGCACAAAGAAACAAAAATTATCTAATTCTGAAAATAGATTGCAAAGTTCAGGTATAACTTCAAAAAGAGCACAGTGGGTCCATAAAATGCCCGCAAACATTTTTGCTTCCAAGCCTTTATAGATAAACAGGCTCAGAGAGACATAATCAATGTCTGAAACTGGATGGAATTTCTGTGGTAGTTTCATTGAAGTCTGCAGCAAAATTCCACTTGCTGGTAACCACTGATGACATTCTCTGCTGTTACACACTTTCAGTCTGTCACTGGGCTAACTGCTGGACTTAACAAACCTAAATATCAAGGCATTTCTACAAAAGCAAGTTAGTAAAACATGAAATTGCTGCATTTTATGTTGAACTTATTAAAGATCATTAAAAAGATGTACAATCTTGCCACTTACTTCCTCCCCATGTTCCCCATCTTTGTAAACCAGTTCATAGCTGGAAATGGTATCAGACCGTGGAGGTGTCCAGGAAAGCAGTATGCTTGTTTCAGACTCAGGTTCTGCTTTGAAGTTCAATGGCTGACCAGGCACTAAAGAAGAAGTTGAGCAGTGTTGTCAATTATTTATTTGGATACTTCAATACTTTCAAATTTTTTAAAATGTTATTCAAATATGGCATGTGATATTACTTTTATTTATCTTACTGAACTTAAATTGCTCCACAGTATTATGAAATTTATGTAAGCACAGAAAAATAATGATACATTCAATTCACATGTTAAAAATCATCAAAGATTTAAAATATTTTTTTTTTGCACTGTAAATAAAGCAAATAGAACCAAAATGCAATTTAAGAGATGCCTGGTGATGAATACCAGCAATCTAATAACCTATGTGTGAAATGGCAAATATAAACATCAATACATTTGTGTATGAGAAAAAGCTAATAGAACATGACTAGCTGAAGTAGTCTAGAATAAAGTGTTAAAACTATTACATGTGTTTCCAGATATGATTTTTTTTTTTTTTTCAGCTCATAAATAAAATATATAAACACATCCTGGTCTTTTCTAAGAAGACACCCAAATACAATATCCAAATACAATAACCTGAAGTTGTTATAACCCAGTGAAGAGATATTCAGCTAATTTCTCATTAAGTGATGTATTTCCACCCTTTAATGACTGATATTTTTAAGAATATAGTTGAATTTCTAATGACGACACTTTCTAATTGCAAGAATGTACTTTTGATTGTGCTATCCAAGAACATTCTCTGTTGTTCTATTTTTTGCAATGGTCACAGAAATTAAATGTTATCCTAATTTACTTCTTCAAATGTAAAGCAAAATTATAAAGTTGACTAGGAAATGACAGCAAAACATAACTATATCATTGGATTGTGTATAATAGTTTTGGCACCCAAGCTGTAAAACATTATTTTCAGTTAATAGTGCCATTGATGAGGCAGGAAACAGTTTTCCACAACATCTCTAGCTGTTCAAGAACAAAATGTGACATGCTCTCCTATTTTTTCATGGGAAGAATAAAAAGATGTACTTCTTAGCACACACTAAGAACAGGTGTAAGAAGTAGGATGTGACAATAATGATGGTTTCACAGACATTTATCAGGGAAGAATTCTATTATAGCATTACACTAAAAAACCTAAAAACTTCAGAGAGCAAACTCTTAAAATAATTTGGTATTTTAATTTTTATCTTCCCCAGACTTCTACAGAATATCAATTTGAGGAGAACACCGCCCTTGTGTATTATGGTACACAATTTAGATTTGAATGAAAGTTAGATTTGGTATCTAACTTTCAACAGACAGAACCTTTTTACATGAGGTGCATATTCAAGGTGCTAGGTGGACATTGAAAATCTCTACTTTTTTGGGGTGGTTGGTTGGTTTTTGTTTTGTTTTGTTTGATGAGTGAGAATAACAGGAGACCAGCTCTTTTACAGGAATAAAAAGGGACAGGACTAATTAGATCTTTTTCTCAAAGGTGTCTGGTCTAAAAAGAGACCACTGCCTGGGTCCTGCAAAGTGCAAAGAGGAAATGATCCTAAAGCACTGGGAGCCATTACAGGAAACATCAACTAAGTATTTGTGACAGATTCTAATTTTGGAGAGGGTGCAGTGCTGGCAACAGTTCAGCTGGGAGAATGGCTCTCAACGGCACTCCCAGCAGTGACAGAAGGGATGGAAGAGACACAGCCAGGCTCTTCACAGAGTGTGGCAGGTGAGAGGCAGTGGCACAAGTTGAAACACGAGAGGCTCAGGACAACTCAGAAATTCAGCCAGGGCCCAAGGAGGCTGCACCATAGCAGCCCTGGGGTGTTTAACTCATCAAGTGGGTGAAGCCCTAGGAAACTCAGTCTGACCACAGTGCCAAGCGTGCCCTGGGCAGTGGCTGTGGCTGGACACCTCCCCAGATAATCATCCTGCTGGCCTGAATTGTCCTGTGATGCTATGATCTGTACTTAATGTATGGATACATGAATTGTAGAACACAGCCAGGCAGTAATAGCAAATGATAAGTCAAGTGACTCATATGAAGGCTGGTACCATCTGTTATGATAAATATGGCAGCAGATGGAGAACTAAGGGTATTTCCTGTCTCTCTACATGCTTTAAGACCCTCATTCTCCAAGCAGTCCTTGTAAAAAACCCAAGCCCTCTGTCATCTTAAGTCTGCAATTCTCAATCATTTTGTAAGACAAGCTGATTGCTAATTGGGCTTTTCCAAATGCTGTTTGTCAAAATAAAATCTTGCTTCAAAATTTAGTCTCCCCTTGAATTTTTTTAACCACAGTTAGGCAACTCTGATGCTGAAAACATGGACAGAAGAAAAAGTTGACAGGGAAAGCTGCATTGCTCCAAACAGATAAGCAAAGATGAAGAAGAAAGAAAACAAAACCAAAATAACAGAAACTAAACACACTTTATTGCTGATAAATTCTGGTATGGAACCTAGTACCAAAGGAAACGTACCGGTAAAGGAAGTGGAACAAATAATTTTTAAACTATGATTTATGCCTAGAATACACATCTGTTAAAAAAAAAATCTTCAGTGGCACATGGGAACTAAGCCAAGCTGGAGCTGACAGAAGCTACTGGTCTCCTTCAGAGAGAGAAAAAAGCTTAGAGAAACTGCAAAGTATATGCAAGTAGACTTCATACTCTTACTACTGTAGTGTTTTTAATGTCACACATCAAATCTAACTCCAAATTAGCGCTGTTCATGGGCAGCCTAAATGGGATGATTTTGCATGAGCATTCTCTCAATACTATCTTTTTTGTTTTTAGGGCTATATGCTCTAGAAAAGTACATTAAAACCCCTAACTTCTGTGTGCTCCTTTCTTCTTATCTCTTCTTCTAAATATAACTTAGGGAGTACACACAATGAAAGACTACAGTGCAGTAACAAAACAAAGAATAAAGTCCACAACTACTTTTTCCAAAACTTCACACCAGCTTCTAAATTTTCACTTGCCTATTCCTCCATGTTTATTGCTGGATAATCAGGAACAAACACAGATTGCTGGACTTTGTCCTGCACATGTGGTTTTATCTCCATCCCTGATTAAAGTGCCAGAACAGGATCATAAAACAGGACCTCAGAAAGGCACTCTAGTTCCCTGCACATCTCTTCAGCTGGCTGAGGTAACCAGAAAACTACTCCAGGACCATGCTGGGTTTGCAAGTGATAATGAAAAAGGAGGGGAGTCTCCAGGATAGAAAGGGCCCCATGACATTGCTGGGGTGAAATCCATACCTTGTGTAAAACTCAATTAATTCAATAAGAAATCAGCTTTGCAAAGGACAATAGATCGATCAAGAGAATTTACAATCAGTAGGGAACCTAAAGGGACCAAGAGTTTATGCTTCTGATATCTCTGAAAGAAGCATGAAACTCGATATAGGAACTCTTACAACTGACAAGCTACTGTGCTTCAGTTTTTCCTTTGTAAACAATATATATATATATATTTTGAAATAAGTCTTAATACAACATAATTAAAAAATAAAATGTGTAACATACAAAATAAAATGTGTAATATCTGCACTGTGCTCTCCCTGTCTCTCTGCTACAACTGCAATAATCTCTTCAAATAAGTCTGAAGACAGCTGAGGTTTGCAGCTTTGCAATGTCAAAGAATCACAAAATAATTAACTACTATACATTTTAGATTTTATAAAAGCATAGTATATTGTGTGAAAAGTAATCAGAAATCCATAAATTGTTTTCTTCAAATATTATCTCTAACTGACATAGTAGGAACTCAGGGAATAAAATAAATGTGTTAGTCAGTCTTAAAGACAGAGTCCACCTGGTCTTGTCTGGATGACTAGAGAACACAGTGAAGAGATAAATTTTCACTGTGTGAAGGTGAGATCCTCAATACAGAACTCATCATGTTAGCACTTAGATGAAGTAAAAATACAGACCAGGACACTTACCTGTGCATTGAGAGTAGGGCAGTTATTCAAAAGCTAAAATAGTCTTTCCTACCTGACCAGAAATATTTCTTGAGGGGAATTTTAAAATTTAAATCAGTTAAAAAACTACCCTATACTCCACCTCAGCATCAATACATGTATCTTAAAGTGGGGTGCCACAAGGAGACTGCCAGACTCTTTCCAGTGGTGCCCAGAGATAGGATGAAAAAACATACACTAAACCACAAGAAATTTCTCCTAAACCTGAGGAAGAACTTTATATTGAGGGTGGCAGAGCACTGGAACACTCTGTCCAGGGAGGCTGTGTTTCCCTCTCTGGTGACATTCAAAACCCACCTGAATTTGTTCCTTTGTCACCTGTTCCCTGCCTTGCAAGAGGAGTGGGACTGGATGATCTCCAGATGTCCCTTTCAACTCTAAATATTCTGCAATTCTCCCACCTGCTTTCTCGCTTTGAGTTTCTAGTTACATGCTCTTAACTCTTTTCATGTGGAAGTCTATTTCATGAAATGCTTCACAAAGACACTAGGCTAGGACTGTGGAGTTTCAGAGACATCAGGTTTCCCCATTCACTTGCTCTTTAAAAAAAATTAAATGGCTGGCACAGTCTAGCTTGCTACAACACAGAACAGTACTTTGCCACCAACTCTTTCTCTGAACTTCTAATTTTCTTTTACCATTAAAAACTCCAGAAATATTAGTTTTGTTAAATCTAATGCTCCATTTATATGCCCTGCAAGTTGGATACTTAACCTTCTCATTATGTCCTTTTTCCTATGCTGAAAGCATTAACCTTTTACAACTGTAATAAACCTCAGTCTTCAAATAATGGAGAATCCTTCATTTAAAACTAATAATTTGGTTTGTATTTCAAGTTTTTTTCTACAGAAACATAAGCTAACAGCAACACATTCATTTCTCTGAATTTTTTTTCCCCTCTTTCTCTTTTTCCAGTAATTCACTATCCAACAGACCTTGTGTATCTCTCTCCTCTCCTTCTAACTAAGCTCAGAACAAAAAATAAGATTCACTCAATTCCTTCAGCAGCTATTCTCTTTGCAGGTTAAAAATGAAATTAAATCGAATGAAATGAAATGAAACAAAACTCAAACCCAGACAGTTCAAAATTCTAAATATTTCTGCTACACACAGATATGTTGCTCAATGTACACATTTTTATGACCAGTTTAAGCCCAGAAAGGAGTTAGAAGAACTGTGCCTGAGCAGTTAAACTGGATAGAAACAAATTTTGTTTGCTAACACAGCAAAAAAAACCCAAACCCAAAACCAAGCAAAAAACAGAAGCAAAGTATCACACTAAAACTCATATCAATATTTCTTTATTCTAAAATTTGATAAGTCAATTAACCTACATAATAGACCATCCTGACTCCATCTCTAACAGAATCTAATCCTTTGGTCCAGAAAGCAAAATAAGGACTTTCTTAAAATTTGGAATTGATCTCCTTTAACCCAAAAGGCTCAGACCCACAGCTCTTTTCTGATTACAGAATCTGTTAAAATGGTGCCTTTTTACCATAATTTTGCCTTTTTTATTGCCCAGTTGTTTTCAGTTTGTTGCTGAAAACAACTGGGCAATAGGACATGGCTTTGTCTTCAAATGCTTAAGAAAAATACTGAACACCAAAACTGAACCTTTTTTTGTTTTTTTTCATTGTCTGGTTGTCTGAAAAATATATCCTTCTCTTCCTCTCAAAAGACATGCTCCCAATCAATATTTTAATTAAAAATCCAAATTTCACTACCATCGCAATTTCAGCTGACATGCAAAGAAAAACGCTGCTCATACACCAGTTTCAAAAGAACAATTCTGCTATACTAAGAAAACAAAAATTCCTCTGAACAGTTTTTTTAAGAATAAATTATTCATTTTTATAATCTCTCTCCAAAGATCAGAATACACTTAAGGCAGGCAAGCTCTGAACCATCTAACAGAGCCTGTAAGTCATATATGTCAGCATGATTTTGTTTTATATATGCTCTAACATCCCCAAAGTGAGGGTTAAGCTAAATATATATATAATGGCAGGCTTATTTGTTTAAAGTAAAATCAACCAAATGTAATCAGCATCCCACTCCTATTTTAACATTTTTAAAATGTTTTTATTTTGTCCATTTTCCATGTTCTTAAATGATACTTTATATTGAGTTTAATATTTGAAATGCATTTGATTTTGAGAGATTTAAACTAAAACAATCATATTCTGATTCACGTTAAAGCAAATCTGGACGAGAAGGACAAGGAGAGCATTTTTTTCTAAGGTTTTCACTGAAGAGAAACTACTTAATAGAGAGATGGGGATTTCCTAATTTTTAACCATACCCTGGAATGGACAACTCCACTAGACTTTCTTAGTTTTTATCACTTTTATGACTTAAAACATTTATATTTCAACTAAAAGTATCAGTGCTTAAATACGCTTCCTGTACGCTCTGTTCTTTGTTTTCTTTCAATTTTTTTATATAGTCACAATTAAACATCGAAATCATGTTTAAAAGAAACCTTCTAGCACTGTTAATGTTGTAATTTCTTCAGATTGCAACAGTAATCGGAAACAGATGGACATGCTTACTTCTCTGAAGTGACCTCAGAAAATAATGTAACTTGGGCCAGTCCAGCTGAGCCTCAGTGCTCATTATTTTGATTCCTTTATCCTTCACTGGGGCAGCCACTGTCAGACACTTGCTAATCTAAGAGGTTTACAGTTGTGAGTGAAAACACAGATAAGGAGCTCACTAAACCTTCTTCTGGAAAAGCTTTATGCATGTGGATTCAATCAGAAGTCAGATGTCAATATAAAAACTAGTTCTCTGAAAATGGTTGCAAATGCCAAAATTAAACTCTGGTGTATATATTTACATTTGCATGTGCACACAGATACATTTTAATCTACTACCGTAAGATCAAAAAATCTTGTAACTTCTTAGCTGAGATAATGGAAAAGGTGACATCTAGATCTTTGTGCAACATAACACCTAAAAAGATTCCAGGACAATACATCAATTTCTGTCTTTACTAAATGCATTATTGGTAAAATGCAGAAGTAAAAACTGGATGAAACGTAACTGTCTAAAGTTATACTTTAGAGATATGTTTTTAAGAATTTGAGGGATGCTAAATTCTGCAGCAGGAAACTTTCCTGTACTAAAAAATTCAAGTACCATTATATATTTTTATGAAATCACTGGCCTACAGTAATATTTCATGTAGCTTTCTCTTAACTGTTAGACAAAAGGACCTTTTATTTCTTATTGCTATAATAAAAAACTTTGTGCAGTGTAACTCTACCAGAGCTTCTCACTTTAGACTTCATAAAAACTTTTCTGCAATGTTTTTTACTGTGCTTGCTTGTTCTTTACTAATAAAACTAATTCATGGTCCTAAGAGTTCTTGAACAGAAAAAAACAACCTAACTGCAAATAAAAACTGAGAAAATAGTGACCCTGTGGTATGCATTTTGTAGGGGCAGGTTTGATTTGACTTATAAATCCAAAGTGTACCAACCTGCTTGCTTGATCCTACATAAAAGTTTGTTGTATTTATTGCTCTCATGTTTTGTGTTCTCAGAATCTTACCAACTAGTTGAATATGTTGTACATGACATATTGTACATATGCAGTACACATAAGTTTCAGATTTCCAAAAGCGATCTTCCCTAGAGTAATATGGCATAGGAAAACTGCGTGTCACCTAAACAAAACCCACCAAAACCAACAAGTAACAAAAAGAAAGCTATGAAGAACTACTGACAAACAGGTTTAGCACACAGAGTACTGACAAACAAAAGCCTTAAGATTTGGCCACCTCCAGGATGACGGTCTCTCTGAGACTTCAGGTGCACTACAGATAAATTTCTTGACACCGATGAAAAAAGAAAGCACGAAGGGGTAATTTCCACTCCGCAAAGATAACTTGCACTGTGGAATTGAGAAAAGGTTGTCTGCAAAAACTGACTGAATAAACTGGCTATACTTGAGGGGTAGTTCTTTTTGCAACATTTTAAACTGAAAGTCTCTCCCACAAATTTTTTTCATTGCTAGCTTACCTCCTGTTTGAGTGATGACTTGAATGTCACTAGAAAGTGGTCCATCCCCAACAGAAGTAAAAGCAAGGACCTTCACAGAGTACGTTTTCTGGGGTACAAGATTCCCAATAGTGGTAATATGGCTGTCAGCCACATTGTGCTTCATCCAACTGTTGACATGTTGAGTGGGGTCCATGGTGTAATAAACTCTGTAACCTTGTATTTGCCCATTAGGTTCCTCGGGTTCTTCCCACTGTACCAGGATGGTGGTGGAGCTCAGCATGCGGGCCTGTACGTTGCGCGGTGCACTTGAAGGTGCCTGTTCTGAAGTCCTGGTTGACACAGGCTCGCTGGGCGGCCCTCGCCCAATGTTATTTACAGCAACTACCCGAAATTCATACTCTGAATATGGGCTCAAGCCAGCCACACTGTAACGAGTTGTGGCCACCCCATCAATTTCTTTATATGGCTCCTCAGAGTTTTTGGGTTTGTGTTGGATTATGTAGTAAGAAACCGGCTCAGGGTTTCCAGAATCCCAAGTCAACGTTATGCTAGTTGCTGTGCTTTCTGTCACCACAGGTGTTCCAGGAGGTTTGGGTAAGGCTAAATACAAATAACAAAAAAATACAGTTAGCACTATGTAACAGGAGACATTCTTTATTAGAATAAAAAGCTTACAAACAACAAAACAAAAATAAAAGAGGAAGACAAAATGGAAAGAAGGAGCAATCTGTTCAGAGCAAGCTTTTGTCAATTACAATTTCCTCCAAAATCTATGGGAAAATCTTCAAGTTCTGTTCAATGCAGTTCATTTTTCATGAATTAATGATACCGACTTTTTTAATAAATCCATAACCACATGCAGAAGAGGAATCTTATAGAAAGATGATTCACAATTACAGCTGAATTTTCAGATATTTTTTGAACCTCTTGTTTGCTTGTTTTACTCAGTGAACATGATACTTGGACACAGCAATTCTAAAAAATCAAATGACTGGTTCTTAAAGCCTCCTGCTGTTGATAAATAAATACATTAGAAGATCATTTCTTTAATGGAAATGAAGCCTGGGAGCTAGACACAGAAGAATAATGGAACATTATGACTAACTTATTTTATTAAATATTAATTATTCAATTAATGTTTATTACTGCTGTCTTAACCTGTATTTTGGCTTATGCCAGTGACTGGTTAGAATATTTACCCCCTTGATTTAAGACGGCAAATGGCATTTAGACCCTTCAGTGCGATATATTTGCTCAGAATTAATGAAATAAAAGACGTAACTGTGTCCAAATAAATGTGCTTGAGATATACCTTTGACAGTTATCTGTGCTATTGCTTCTATAACACCAAGGGTAGACATAGCAACGCAAGTATAGTTTGCAGACTGTCTGACATCATTAAGCTCAAGGACGTTTCTCCCTATTGGCATATCATCCTCAGGTGTCAAATCTTCTGCTCCTAGCATCCACTTCACATATGGCATTGGTGATCCCACCGCAACACAGGTGATATTTACACTCCCGCCAGGCATGATCTCATGATTTGTGGGGGGGATAGAGAACCTCGGTGGGACCCGCCGAACTGGAACAAAACACAAAGAAAAGGTAATAACATATACAAAAAAGGAAACTGAGTCTTGCATAAGGACAGCATGCAGTGTACAGACACAATTGACTATTTTAGCATGTATTTCAGTCTGCCAGAAAATAAATATAAGAGAAATAAGAGACTAAACAAGAATTTTGTCTGCACACAATGTGAATTATTCTGCATTTATTTGAGGACATTATTAGGCACATTCATACAAAGGCTGATTCAGACCTACTAGGGCCCCACATGTAACTAACTACATACTAACAATACACAAACACCATGCAAAAGATATACACGCACACGTGCACACACACACACAGGCGCACATATATATATGCATTTTTTTATGCTGATACATATATATATGCACAGAAGAAAACTGGAAGGTCAACAGCATGCTTGAGTTGATCACCAACTTCAATGCTGCATGCTTCCAGTTGATGTGCATAAATGTGCTAGGCCACATTGTCACATCACAGTCCTGGAACACACTGCCTAGAGTAAATTGAAAGTGCAATTTCATTTGCTCTCAGACTCAAAAGTAGATGCAGCCTCAAGACCTCACACTAACACTGAAATAAACATAGAAAAAATATATAATTGCACACAGATACAAATATATATATATATACACATATGTATACACATATAAAAATATATATAAATATACATATACATATATATATATATATATATATGGAGAGAGGGAGACACAGACAGAGAGAGGGAGAGTCAGAGTCACAGAAAGAAACTAGGCAAAGCCAGTACAAAGTACTGGATTTGGTCATGCAGGCAAGCAAATGACAGAAACAATAGAGAATCATGCTTAGGGAAATGTCTGAGTAAAAACTGCAAAGAGAAAATAGCAAAAAAAAACCCCATTGGGTGAGGAAAGGAAACTTGAAAGCAATGGGAATAGCATAGGCTGACAGATACAGGAGTTAAGGAGGAGCATAGCATTTGAGGGAGAAGGAATTTAGATTAAATTTAGGTGGTTTAAAAGCGACTGCTAGAAAGGGTAACTGGGGAAATCGCAGAATATTGAACATTCAGGATTCCACTATGCTCACAGTTCAGGGAAAGCAAAATAAGGATTAATAATATTAGACATTTCTGTATTGACAGCAAGGGGTGGCAACCTTAAACACATAGCAGGACATTCCACTAACAGAATAGTTAATATTTAAACAAACACAACACCGAGAAAATTACCAGGCAATAACAGATCAGTGTTCCTGCTTCAAATATTCTCAGTGGTGTGCACATGTGTGTAGGAGGTGGAAGTGACAGAGGTAGCTGAGAGAGGTAGGCTTGTATTTAGGCCATTCATTGGATGGTGTACTCGAAACTGTATTTATTTGGCCTTAATAGAGGCCAATCATTAAACACAGTTTTAATTCAGCAGAAAGTCAGAAGTAAAATAAGACTATGAGTGAGTTTGAAAACAAAACAAAACAAAACAAACAAACAAAAAAAACCAAGAGGAAAACTATATTAATCTGAAACCTTTCCACTGGGCTTGATTAAATTTCTGTGATCTTCTATGGATTCAGAAGGGGCTTACTGCAATGGCCTCATGAGTGAATGACAGGCAGAAGGGGAACAAGCAGAGAGCAAAACATCCGTAAATGGCCAGTTCACAGAGGCCACACAAAGCAAACGGCAAGCAATGAGCAACTTTTTGAATTGAACAAAATCCTTATAGACAAAGGAGAGTTTAGTCTTCATGCGTGGGCTATTTAGAAAAGCAACTACTGAAACCATTCCTTGAAAAGCAGGCATCAGTATAAACAAGAAATTAAAAGGGAAGAAAAAGCAGGAACACTGACCAAGTTTAGTAGACGTTAGTATTAAAAGCTAAAGAGATTGCCATGCGTCCAGGTTCATTCTCTCTTGTCATGCACAACAGTTAAATACCAGCACTCATCAAAAGCCATGACCAGGGCATTCTCTGCTTAAACATAACATTAACTTAAAAAATGCCACAATGCAGCTACATTCATTTCATTTGTATTCTTTGTTATTGGTTTAATTAATAGTTTTGTAAGGTGGGTAAAAAGTAAAAAACACACCAACCTTCTCGCAGCTCTGAGGGATGTAGGGGGTTTGATGCAGAACACAATGAAATGAGGAAAGGAGAAAAACAAGGGAAACACAGAGAGAGTAAAAAGGCCATATCAAGGCTTTCAACTGCTACTTGAACATCTCTACTTGCTCTAATAAACCTTCCTACCTCATCTTGAAAACTTAGCATTTTCCATAGCTACAACGGAAACAACAGCTAGCATAATTTTGAAATTTTCCTTTGGATATAAAGGTATACATGCCTCATGCAGTACAGGAAAGTCAGTATGTTGGAGGAGAAGAGAAAAAAAATAAAAGATCAAATAACTTTCTACGGATGTCATAACTATGAAAGGTTTTCCTTTCTTTTCTTTTTTAAAATTAGCCAAAAGAGTAACACCATATGAAAACGTATCAGGTTGATAGAAAAATCAGCTCTAAAAAAAATTTCAAAATCAGGCTAGGCATTTTCTGCAAGGTCATCCATCCTACAGTAAGGTTTACAGCTGTTTATGTTTTCATTCCTATTTCCCCCACCCATCCCCTTTATAATGTAGACACACACACACACACACATATATATATACACACATATGTATGTATGTATGTAATAGGCTTTGTTTTACAGAAATCTACATCAATTGGACGTAGGAAATACTGCCTGAAACAAAGCCCTTCTTTCTAGTTGAACCAAGAAGTATTTCAATAGGTTAATAACCATTTTTACTATTATACAGAAAAATACAATGGCTTTATTATTAGTCATACCTGTCATACAGAGGTAATTTCTAAAAATAATATAGCCAATTGACTGCTGTCATTCTAAAGGACTACACTTCACTTACAAATCTACACTAAATATATATATATATATATATATACACACACATATATAGTAAGAAGAAAGAGAAAAGAAGAAAATACAGTTGTGCTCTGCATACATAAAGTTATAATGTTAGAAGCCTTTCCTTTGCAGTTAGATAGCAGAGGTCAGGTAGGCATACACCTCAATGCCTCGGGGTTACACTCAGCTGATTAGTGGCACACAGAGCAGTCACCTCAGGAGTTTGAAAAGAAAAGCAAAACAAAACAAAACCAAAAGAAAATAAATGCAAAGCACAATTTAAATTAATGCAGGAAAAAAATAGAAGTTAAAATGTAAAAATATAAATATACTTACAAACCTTAACCCACAGGATAGACTGGACTCAAGAGTGCTTTAAAAGAACAAAATAAACCCCAAGCCTTTCCTCTATAGTTTAAAATTAGTTTTACAATTGACACATTTACCATGGCATTTTGACTATTACAGTGGTATCTGTATAGATCCTGAGAGTATCTTAGCCCTGAACCTGCACAAACAGTGGATGCCAGGGTTATGTCATTCCTACCTCTGACATATAGATTGGCAGGGGCAGAATAGCGTGTACCCGCACTGTTGGTTGCAACACACTCATATTTGCCTTGGTCAGATTCTTCACTCAGTTCAATTTGGAGGGCACCTGTATGAATATAAAATACATTGCCAAAGAGAGGGTCAGAGAAGGCTTTTAACATCCATAACAATACACCTCTCAACAATATGAAAAGCTTGTATGCGAAGGTCCACTCAACGTCGATTCATTTTCTTGCTAAGGTGCACAGACAGAAAATGATGCAATGAAAAAAACAGAGATTATTTTTTTCACATCATCAGTGCTAGCACAGGAAAACAATTAGCATTTGGCAAAAAAAAAACAACAAAACCCTGTCTAAACAATACTCTTTCCTAAACCATTAAATGAGATGAGTGAGACTGCTTCAAGGAAGAATGGCTTTTAATAAAACAATAGAGATTAAGTAGTTGGGTCATTATAGTTTTTTTAATTTTTATTTCATTGTTTCAATCTAATAACAAAAGTAGCACAAAAGGTGGTACTCGGAAAAAAGCAGGACAGACTTCAAGAAATCTTCTGCTGAAGAAAGCCAAAAATGCGCAGCAAGAACAAAAAGGCTGCTTGAAGTGAAAAAAAAAGAAATTGTATTAGTCATTTACAATTATCAAAATATTATTTTAAAGAAATAAAACTCCTTTAAGACATGCAGATTGATAAGAAAAGAAAGACAGTTTTCCGCAACTTACAATCTTAAAGTACGTTTGCTGAAAAACAAAGAGCAGTTGAATTAGAAGACAAAAAAGTTTCAAAAGCATGGTCTACGCCAACAAGGAAGAACCAACCAACCACTGCTGAGGACCATAGGGAGGCCCCCCCTGAGACACCCATCAAAATCCACAAGTGGGATTAGCAGTGTGGTGTCACAAAACCCAAGAAAAATACAAAACAAGAATTACAAAAGAAGTAAACAGTTTTGCTAGAGTATCAAAAACCAACAATACCACATACCACCAAGAATAATGAGTCAGTAACCTTTCATTTCCAAAGCCTGTAGATTAGAAGATCCAAAAATCCAGAGGTGAGAGAATTCCAAAAAAAAAGAAAACTACAACAACCGAAAAAAAAAAAAAAAAGGCAAGACCACAATAAAGGGAAAAAAACATTTCTGTAATTCTTTTAGAGAGGGATACATATTTTCAATTTTATGAAGTTAAAGAAAAAAAAAGGATTGAAGAAGAACAAAACCAAAAACCTTTTATGAAAGATAAGACAAAAAGAAGATAGTCCATGTTGTCTTCTGCATGTCTGCTACTGTTCTCCAGACCATCTTGGCTTTGGTCCAGGACAAGAACAGCTAAGGAAGAAAAAAAATGATCTTTTTTTGCTCCAGTTGGACAAAAAAAAAAAGAGGAAGGAAAAAAAGAAGAAAAAAAAAGAAGAAAAAGAAAAAAGGAAGAAAAAGAAGAAGAAGAAAAAGGAGAAGAAGAAGAAGAAAAAGAAAAAAGAGGGACAAATGGTACGCTGTGACTGGGCTATGGCCAGGAGACCTGGATATGCTTTCTTTGAAGCATATCACAAATTAATTAATTAATTTTTATTTTTTTTTTTTAATGAACAAATGAAAAGGGGAAAGGAAAAGGCAATGTGAAGAAAGAAAGATCACAATATGAGAGTCACTGATCATAACCAAACAGGACAAAGGAAAAAGAAAATCAGATGATGGACATTTCCACGGTTTTTGTTTTGTTTTGTTTTTTCCTTATGGAAAACAAAACAAAACAAAACCAAAAACAGGACAAATATGAGAGGGATGAAAGGACAGAAAGAATGAGTAAGATCATTCTGTGAACGTTAGTTCAGCACTCTTACCTCTTATTGGTGTACCACCTGGGTGGATAATATGAATGCAAATAAGATTAGAAAGAAGAAGCATTAGTACGAGAAGAAGGAGGCTAGGGCTTTGGAAGAAGAATCAAATTAGATTTACAGAATTAAATAAGGTCTTAAGAGAAACTTGAATTACTATACTGTTAAAACAGGAATATATTAGATAGTATTATCAGGTTATAAAAGCAAGTTGCATTGTACCACAAAGGGCAGAAAGGCTATAATTGGCTGCACTGCCATTCTCAGAGCAGCATCTGAATTCTTAGACGTTTGGTTATATAGGGTTAGATATGTATCAAATATGCCTCAAATACTTAAAGGAAACTTTACAAAACTGTACTTATGACATATTTTAGGAAAATACTGGAAATTCTATTTAAATATATATATATATAGTTCTATATATATATAAAAAGAGGATACACTGAAGTCTATCTCAAAACAAACACTGTAGTTTAGGCTGGATTATGGCATTTACTATTCTAGATCTATGTGATACATGTGTACTGTTTCTTTTAGGTGTTGCTATGACTGATAAGACAACATTTCTGTGGAGGTGTGCGTGTGCGCCACTATAGGGATCTGGTGACTACACTGACTGTTAGTAAAATGCATGCCATGCATTTTAAGAATAATAAAACTAATCATATAATAATTATCATAATCATAATCATAATATTCTGAATATGGAAATTAGTGGGGGTGAAGTGCGCTTCAGAACTAAGCACTTACCAATAGATTCTGGAGATTTAAATACGGAGAGAAGAAAGACAGCATAAAAATATTATTATATTCCTTATAATTTGGTACAAAGTTTTCAGTTAAAGCTTTATATACTAAATCATCTATGTCACATGTGAAAAAATCTTAATTTACATTAACAGAAGGTTAATTTACACAGTTCTGCTGACAACAAGCAAAAAGTAGGTTAACAAGACGATTTAACATCACAGGACAGGTCAAAAGCTGAGAATTCTGGGAAGACACGTGATTAAACAACTTAGATTCTACAATGGTATCTACTACAATTGTCAAAGAAAAAAGCTCATTATATCCCAATGATCAGTGATCTTATTTTGGGATAAGCTTTCAACTTGATAAATTTAGAGATGGTTTTGGTTTTTTGGGTTTTTTTTGTTTTGTTTTTAATCTAAAGAGAGCAAAAGAATAAACTAGGGCAGGAGGAGAGTGAGAGAACTGCTAGGGAGGTGCAAGGGCAAAGAGAGAGAGAGAGAGCAGCAAAAGCTGGAATCTACACCAAAAGCAGACTTCTGTAGATCCAGAAAATATAGGATTCATAAAGCTTTAGCGTGGACGCACACTACTGTGGCTAAATGTGTTGGTAAAAATGCTCAGGCAGCAAAAAAACCCCAACTTTGTTCCACAGATTACACAACGATTTTATTTCCTTTTTTTTTTTTTTTCCAGGTATAAATCTGCATGGGAAGAAGTACTGTGCTTTATGTATTTGTGAGAGGAAAGAAGATGTGTCCAAACTGGCTAATCTTTGGTGAAGTCAAATGTGGAAAAGACAGCAATAAACACATTTTAGATTTTAATTGAAGTGTCTAATGCAGGTTTTGGTTTTGATGAATATAACCATTGGTACTCCTTGCAATTTCTGAATGAAGTCCAATGTTGAAATAAATTTGTTAAAAAAAAATTAAAAGGAAAGAAGAAAGAAAGAGGAGAAAATGGATCCATCAAGTACTGCAAAAAGCAGTAAAGAAAAAAATTATCAAAAAATACAGTCACAGCAGTGAGCAATGTGGAGTAAACAGAAGCTGCAAAACACATAGAGACAGACTCTATAGGAAGCTATGACAACATCACAGACATGGACAACACACTCAGTAACACAGAAAAGGAGAGGGGAAAGAGAAATTATTACCTATAAATAAAATCGTTTAAAAAGGAAGAGAAAAAAAAAAGAAAGAAAAAGTGAGAGAGAACAACTCTGGGCGTCGGTGGAAACAGTAACAAGACCCTACCTGAGCGTAGCTGCTTGATGCGGCCATTGTTGTTGCTTGTGTCAACAGGTAAGAAATCTTTGAACCAAGTTATTTCAGGATCAGGATTGCCACTGGCTGCACATAACATGGTAGCTGTACGAGTTCGTTCAACCACCTTCAGCTGTGGGCCCATATCAATAGTTGGAAAACCTCGAGGAATTTGATCCTCTGAAAAAGAAATGTATAAATTGAGGGATTTCATGTTAGTTGTGCAGTACTGCATGAAAGCCCAAATCATCATCCTGCTTAGCATTCAGTAATCACCTAATTGTTTGTAAACAACAAACAATCAAATGATCAAAATGCTGATACAAAAGTACATAAAAAAATGGCTACAAGCTTTAGAATTATAAAATCAGATGAGATACACTACCTAGCATGCAATCATTGGAATCATACAATGGTACCATAAAACGCTGGTGTTGCCCTGCTTGCAAGAGTCCTTACTATTTTACATGAAATATTGAATTACCATGTCTACTAACAATAGGGAAAACCCCTTCTCTTTATACCAGAGAAGTACCGAAGGAAGGATGATCACGTAGTGTAAGATCTGGCCACTGACTCAGAAGACACAAGTTATGTCTCTTGCTTCTATCATTATTACTTATCTGCTGTTCCTCTTAAAATCTATTGCTCCCGTGCTCAACTGTCCATCTTACAGATGGCCATGACAACGCTTTACTGGTACAGGGAAATGCTGTGAAGATGAATGCATTATATGAATGCAAAACACTGAGAAATTGTAAACATTGGAGCTGTGTGGATAGCAAAGTTTAAGTGGCAGGATACTCGTAATGATATTGAATAGATACAACAGTGTCTATTAAAATATTCAGATATAGCCCAAGATCCTCATGCTAGTGTGATTAATACTGAAATACCAAAAAAATCTGCAGAAGAATAACTGCCCTTCATAATGTGACACCTGCTAGCAAGTAACAGTGGAAGCACAGTTGGATCAGGAATTTTCATGGCTAAAAAACCTGTTCAAAATACACAATCTTGCTCTTAAATTCCACTGAAATGGCAAAAATATTTTTATTGCAAAATAATATTACTTCCATTCAAAAATGAAAATCAAAAATAACGAAATAAAGAGGATCAACACTAACTATAATACACATGTTATTAAATGTCTTGACTAGTCATTACTGATATAATTGATTAGGGGATAAAACTAACAGTAGAAATTGTTCAACATTAAAAAAAATAATACCTCTCTTTAGTTAAGAAGTGTCATATTTTCAAAGAGGTCAGATAAGTCTTCAGACTTTTCTGAAAAAATGTATAGCAAGCAAGTACAGCCTACAGTTCTTTGTAGTTCCTGGGGTGTGACACTGCTCACGAGCTACAAAATTGCTTGCACAAGTGCGCATAGATAACCACAAAAATACAGAATAATTTAGAAAAGGTCATCTACAGTTGACACCTCTGCCATGAGCAGGAACCTCTTCCACTAGACCAACTTACTCAGAGATAAATCCAAACTGGTTTTGTACACCTTCATGGATGGGGGGTCCACAATCTCTCTGGGCAACTTATTTCAGTGCCTCACCATCTTCAGGGTAGAGCTTTTCTTCCTAAGATATAATCAAAATCTATCCTTCTTCAGCTAAGGAAAAATCTTCCATTTTCTATTCCTTCTGAGAAGCCCCACTCCAGCCTTCTTGTAGCCCCCTTTAGATACTGGAAAGCTTAACAAGCTCTCCAGAACATTTTTTACTTTCTAGGCTGAACAGCCCCAACTCTCAGTTTTTCTTTGTAGAAAGAGGTATTCCAGACCTCTAATCAACTTGTGGCTCTCTACTGGCCTCATTCTAACTAATCAAAGTCTTTCTTGTGTTGGAGGCCCCAGACCTGGACACAATACTCCAGGTGGGAGTATCACAAAAAAGGAGTAGAGGGATATAAGCATATCCCCTGACCTCCTGAACATGCCTCTTTTGATGCAGCCCAGGATGCAGTTGGCTTTCTGATCTGTGAGTATTCATTTCAGGGTCATATCATACTTTTCATCCAAAAACAATCATGTGTTTCTCCCCAGAGTAAGTCTCAATCCATTTTTCACTAAGTCCATATTGCTGCTTGATGTAACACAGGTGCAGAACATTTCACTTGGCTTTGTTGCACTTACTCAGGTTCCACCTCTCAAGCCTGTTAAGGTCAATCCACATCCTTCAGTGTGCTGACCCCACCACACAGCTTAATGTCATTGGCAAACTTGGCAAATGCTAGGGGAGCATTCAAACCCACTGCCCATGCTGCTGACAAAGGTGCCAAGTAGCACTGGTACCAGTACAAATCCCTGAGGATCCTCAGCTGGCACTAGTTTCTAACTAAACATTGACCTGTTGACTGCAACTCCAGGAGTGCCATCATCCAGCCTATTTTTTATCACCTGCCAAAATTCACGCCCCTCCAGTTTAGAGGATGAATAGGAGAGTGTCAAATGCTCTGCACAAATACATACAGATTTGCTGCCCTTCCTTGTCCACCATTGCTGTAATGCAATCCAAGAAGGCTTCAAATTTGTCAGGCATGATTTGCCTTTAGTGAAGCCATGTTGGCTGTCAAAAATCACCTCATTATTTTCAGTGTCTCTTAGAATAATTTCCAGGAGGATCTGCTCCTTGCCAGGCATTGATGTGAGACTGTCTAGCTTGTAGTTCCTTGTTCTTTCTTATTTCCCTCTTCAAAAGTGTAGATCATGTTTTCCCCTTTCCTGTTGGTGGGAACTTCACTGGACTGCCATGGGTTTTCAAATATGATGTGTAGTGGCTGCATTCTTTTATTCTAACACTCCAGTCATAGGAGAGGTCCCTGTGTTTCCATGATACTAATTAAAGTCATAGACCTGCAGGCATCCACACATTTCTAGTACCACCCTGCTGCGTGTGTTAGCACAAAGGGGTTTTAGGTTGCTCCTCAATGAAGCTGACTTTCTGTCTGGTGTGGATGGAATGTCTTGGTGCTGGCCCTCAGGCCCTTCCCAGCCCTTTCTGGCTCAGCCATCTAACTAGCATCTGTGGGATGGCATGCTGTCCCACACCTTATCACTATTAAACTTCATGGTATCTCTGTTCCCTATATAAATCCCCACCAATAAGCCCTGCTAGCCTTTGACCAAAGAATCTCTTCACCCTTTGAGGCAGCTGAATCCCATCTCCATCCAGCAAACTGGTGCCATGTATAGGCCATCTCATTGTCAAAGAAACCAACATTTTGGTGATGACACTAATGGAACCATGTGGGCCCATCTGTTAATCAATGTTAACACCTGCAACTGGAAGAGAAGAAAAAAAGCTGCACCCAAATCATCCCAGAGCCTCAATACAGTGATCACAACTGTCCAACAAGCTTCCTTGACTCTTCAGAACTAGGATTTCTACCAATCAGCTGATAAATGTCAAATCATTCACCAGCCATAGGCTCTTCCCAAAGAAAGGTATGTTTCATGTCTGCTTATGAAAGTCTTTGCTTTGGTATTAGCTGACAAGATTTGACATGTGACACAGAACCGGATTTTTATGGCCTTTCCTACCTGGCTAATACAGAAAACTGTAGAGTCCCTTTTGCAAATACCTAAGTGTACAACAAAGATAATCTATCTTGAATGTTAGCAGGATGGAGTAGTAAAGAGCCTCCCTTTCTTATTTTTAATAAGGGCAATTAAATTCTATCCATCTGCCTTATGCATACAATCTCTTTGAATGAATGCTCTTTATGAAATTTTCATGAGAAACATCATGATGTAACATTCAAATACCCAGAACTGTTATATTTTTGACAGTTGTGGCTGGTGTCCAACCTGGTTTTCAGGTATCTGTCAATAAACCCAGATAGTCAACATCAAATGGACCAGAAAAAATTATGAAATTTCTAATTGGAGGGCTTATCACAGTGGATTTAGTTTTTAAGATGTTAATTATTTTTTTTTCTCTAAATTTATTCATGATTCGTACAACTGCCTTTACACTTTAGTGATACCAAGTATGACAGATCATCACTCTGTGAATCAAAGCTGAGCATCAAATCACTGAACAACTGCATCTCTGTCACAGTAAGACAAAAGTAACTATTACAAAATTTTTATATATTAGTACCCCTACAGTTTTATGTGAGGTGGCCAGAAAATTACTTTTTACTGATCATTACTATGCTTATTAGGCTCTAAACTATAGTATATACTACTTATCCCATGTAATATTCAGTTCTAGTCAATTGGTTTCCAATTCATCAACAATTTAAATCAGACTTGACCTTCTCAAAGCCATTTGGTACTGTCATTTTGAGAGGCCATTAAAGGTCAGATTTCTCTGTCCTTGTGGCTTAGTGACTTATCCATGTAATATGTATTTTGTTTAGGATGACAGATACAAGTGATTTAGAAATAGGCCACATTATTTGAATTTGTCATGTATCTTAAAGGTGCTGAATTTAATTCTTGGCATTAAAATAATGCATTTAGTACAGGGCTAGTATAATTTCCAGCTGTTGCATGAACTCCACAAACGTTATTTTTCAGTGTATGATCTGAACAGTACAGAAAACAATTACAAAGAGAGGTTAACATATGAGCCCTTAAGAGATAATGCTGCAAAATGACCTTGCTTTGCTTTGTATCATGGTTCTTAGTATTTCTCAACTCAGCATATTCGATCGGTTTGACATTGCCACCCAATGCACACAGAATGGACAACAAAGACACTGGAAGCCACTGTGCTGCTAGAAAGTTGTCACTTTCTTGCCAATACTGAAACTTGTGGGATGTGACAGGAGTGTGACTATCAATGGCTACAGGCTCTCCAGAAGAGACAGGTGAGGAAAGAGAGAGACAGAGGGGTTGCCCTCTACATCAGGAGGTAGAGACATCATCTGTCTCTGAAAAACAACCACAAGCAGGTCAAAAGCCCATGGGTAAGAATTAGGGACCAAGGCAAGAAAGGGAACCTTGTGGGTGGTTTTAAGTACAGACCCCTGATCAAAGGGACCCTACTGATGAAGCCCTCTTGCTCCAGCTACAGGCAGCACCATGATCACAGGCGCTTGTCCTGCTGGGGCACTTTAACCACCCCAAAATCTGCTGGGAAAGCAGCATAGCGGGCTGCAGGCAAGCCAGGAGACTCTTGGAAAGCATGAGGGATACCTTCTTGAGCCAAG